ACCAGTATTAAAACATTGTTATCTCCTGATGGGGTTTGTTAGGTGTGTTCGGCATTAAAGGTGTTGCACATTTGTTATGCAGATATGACAACTGCTAACTAATTCTTAAAAATGAAAAAAAGTTCCTCCATCTTTCTCTATCCTTAAAGTAAAAATTGTATTGGGTTTTAGTGTTGGTGAGTTGATGCTTATTTCAATGATGTACAAAAGTAGAAGCTTCAACTGAGACATATTTGCTTAGTGAAAGTGTCACAGACTTTTATCGCAGAATGTATTGCTTTTGCACCACCCCTCCTAATTCATTTGCTACAATATAGGGTTAACATACAGGGAAGTGGGATGAGTGGAGGCTAGAATTGCTTAGCTGTCTGCTTTTAGAGCCTGTAACAGCTGCTTGTCTTTGGAGACAAATTGGATTAATTCCATGGAAATAATCTCTAATTATCCCGTGAAGTAATTGCTTTTTATTATGCCTGTGCTATGTGGTTACGTTGGGAGTCTCACCAGAAAGCATTTGGCCAAATATATGCATTCTACTATAATATCTGGATTGTCACTAGCTTATTACTTGTTTGCTGACATGTGTTTTTCTAGGTTACTAACAGAAAAAAAAAAGTGGGATTATCCAGAGGAAAATAAAGCAGGTTGAGCCATAGAGGTGTTAATTAGAAACATTAGAAAAAATATTCACCAATGTAGTTTCAAAATTGTCTTTATAAATTTTTCTGTTGGTGTAATAGATGAGGTTTTTTAGAAACTGATATTCTCATTGAATATTGGATTCTCATCTTCTCTCAATCACTAAAATAGATAAGTAGCAAAAGCATGGAATTCCTTAATTAAAATTAATTTGTTACTCGTGATGTCTTATAAATGTTTACAATTATTTTCAAAGCTGATGTTTTAATTATTTCAGCATCGATGATGGTGACACATTAGCTCATGATTACTACTCCTTATTATATTAATGTATTTATTTCCTGAATAATTTGAGGTAGGGGGTGGCTCTGCGGGCCCGTCTCAATAACTTTTGGGGCTTTTAAAGTAAAAGGAATGCAACATTCACACATACAAATACTTGAGGCATTTTTATCCAATTGAATACATTTTAATTTCTATATGGTCAAAAATAGCCATGATTAAGGCACTAAATGGAAGTTGAAAGTCATAAGTAAAGAAAGGAATCACAGATTGCATCCTGCAATGAATAATGCCAATAAATTACTTTTCAAATACTTCACGGAATAACAAATTGATTATTTTACAAAGAGTGGTTTGAGTATGCACACATACTGTCTGCTGCACCTTCCAAGAAGAGGAAGTATAACTGTGGAGAAGTGGAAGTGGAATTAGAATTGAAAAAGTGGAAGTGGACATGGAAAATCAAAAGTCTCAACAGGCAGCAGGCATGCTCTGTAGAGCAAGGAACTGGGGGGTGGGGGGGTGGGGGGGTGAGGGATTGCTAGCAATGGTTGATCACCAAACCCAGCAACTAACTGTAGAGTTCAGCAGATTGAGAAATTTTAAGTTTTGGTTCACGTTACTGGGTTCAGGCTTCCCTTGGTGATTAATAGATCCCTTGGTTCCAAAAATAGCCTGTCCTCTGAGTTTGTATGGAGGCCTTGAGGGACAGGTGCAGGGTCTCATTTCTCAGGTTTTTACCAAGGCTTGACAGAAAGGAAGGAAGGGTTAATCACTGTTCTGTCTTTGAAAATTTCCACAGGAAAACCTTCTAAGTTTCACATAGCCACTCTTCTGATATAGCCTTTGATCTAGATGATAGTGACTTTTTGCTATTGGGCACTTATCTCATAATGTCCTTTGTCAGGTTTCAGCTATTGAGTTTTGCAATTCATGAAAGCAAAGAGCCATCTATGAATTTACCAAAGATAGAACAGACAAGAAGCAACTCTACACCCTAGGAACATGGCATTGGAGGAGAACCACCAAATTAGGAAGAGGGAGACAGTTTTGTATGTAACAAATGTAGCATGAGACTTTGCCTCAAAATCAACATACTTCTGTGCTGGTGCAAATAGGATTCATGCAATGAAATTCAGCTGAAACCAAGGGAGCAATTTTGCTGCCTTTTGTTTCTCTAACTTTACACCAACCAGGCATAGGTCAGAGTTTTTATGGAAAGGAAAAGAAAGATTACTAGGAAACAGAACTTACTTTCAAGTGATGCCATAGAAACACAATATTTGTTCAAACAACATCTAAAATGCCAACAACTTTAAAAAGAAGTGTAGATTTCCCATATTAATATTTATTTCAGTTATTTAATGGAATCAGACTGTTAGAGTGATACGGCTAAACTTTTAGAATAGCTTGAGGTGGAATAACTTTTTATGTATATCTAGGAAGGAAAACACTATTATTAGTCATTGTTCTGTATATTTTAAAATATATCTTTCAGAGAAATGCATTTTAATGTATGTATTTTACATAATGTTGGATGATGATGGGTTTTTAACAATGTTTTGTCCCACCTCAAGCCACAAGGAGAGGATGCTAAGAAATAAAACTATTATTGTTGCTGTTTTTGAAACAGAATTAACTTTTCCCCTATTTTTTCAAAAAGGCCAGTAAAGCGGAGCAAACTAGCTATATGCCGATTGCTTTAGTTTTAATAAAACATAAACTACAAGAAATTAATTTGAATTAAAGTACTTAGTCAGCCATTTTGAACAAGGATACCATTGGGTTGTTGTAGGTTTTTCGGGCTATATGGCCATGTTCTAGAAGCATAACCATACAGCCCGAGAAACCTACAACAACCCAGTGATTCCGGCCATGAAAGCCTTCGACAATACAAAGATACCATTTCAGATTTCACTGGGAAGGTGGTGAGCAGTATTTCTCTTTTTTTCTTGGACATACACAAAATATTGACTATGTTCACAATATATTGTGTAAGATCAGCACGGTTAACAAAAAGCAATAATGTTCTTTATTCTGGTTAAATTTCCCATACCGTCCAGCAGTCCTATTTGTCAGGGACCACCCAGATCAATCGTCTCCCATTCCACCTTTTACATAAAATGGCCTAGTTTCTCTGTGCTCTTCCCACTCTTCTCCCTTGCCTTCAGCTTAATTCAGTTTCTGCAAACTGTGATTCAAGTATATGAGTGGTTTTCACTCAATTAATATAGCAAGGAAGTCTGGAGAAAAAGACCCAGAATCCTATCCTACCCAGTAAGCTCAGGTAAAAGGAAACTTCTGCAACCTGTCCTGGCCCAAGTATTCTTCTTCATTAATAGCTTTAGCTCTGATGTTGCTTGGCCGCATGTGTCAGGTTCCCTCTGAAATTCTGGACAAACTACTTCATAATCAAATCCACAAAAGTTAGACCTGCAAATGTGGAGAGTCAGGTGTATTTTTCCTTCTCAGTTTTATTCTGCCTTGTTCAAGTAGAAGCGTAAACATTACTCAATGTAGCTTTTGCTCAATTTCCTGCCACATTGTGGAACAGTTCAGTATAAGAGACTTGATGAAAGGTATAAACTGTTCTTCAGCTGAAGCCTTAACAAGCACATGAAAAAGGCAGGTCACTTGGAAGCAAAGTTGCCCATATTAGATGTTTATCTCAGAATACAGCATTAAAAGATTTGCTGTCCGCGACTCTTTGGAGCAAACAGGCAGTGTCTGTTTTGTTGCCTTATGATTTTGAGGGGAAAGCAATGTTTAGAGGGAATAAAAGACTTGTTCCACAGAAAGCCTAAATGAGATACTTATAACTGACATTGTTTAGATACATTGGTCTTTGTTTTCATAGCAGCCCAAAAGTAAATTAAACCATTTATGGTCAGACATTTCTCAAGATTAACAAAATGCTGCATACAACTGTACGGTTACAAATGTGTTGTTTATCAGAACTAAGATTTCTCATGCTAATCATACCAAGTATGTGCTGAAAAGCTGAACAAACCCCTGCCAGTCACCCAGTTCTTTGTAGCATCTGAACTTGGAACTTGTTCATCCATGTAATTGGGTTAGTTGATGCATTTTCATCACCAAGCAGCTGGTACCTTGCTCTGAAAATGAGTGCTTATGAAATCAAAACAGGTTCTGGAAGTGGCATTCAGTCTCACTGTTTAAAAATAATAGCAATACATCATCAGAACCAACAGTGACTTTCTTGGATTTGAACACATATGCTTAATCCAGAAGGCCCAGGTAGGCGTAAAGTGAATGGAAATTGATCACACACATCTTTGGAGAGCCCAGGGAAGGGTTAACACTCCTGTGCTGCTTGTTTTGCCCCTGTTCAGAAGATTTCACCTCACTTCTGTCCCTGTGACAATTGGATTTTGAACATTTTGGGTTGTTGTGGAAACAAGGACTGGCGATAGAGCTTCAGAGGAGATACTCTTTTTCCATGATAACTATTTCAGGAGTGAATTTCTCTTCCTAGGGGTAGATTGCCTCTCACTTCCTGTTGTCTCATCCCTGTTTACAATTAGGAGTTGTATGTAAGCCAGATGTTAGTAACTTTGGGATTGCCTGAATTAGTTTACCTCTTGTCTTCTATCATAGGGCCAGAATTACTGCATGCAACAGGCATGGGCAAACCCCACCCTCAGTGTGGCCCTTTGGGATCTCACATCTGCCCCCCATCTGCCTTGGCCCTTCTCTCAGCATGTGGATGCAATGGCCCATGTCCCCAGGCTGAGAGGAGGGCCGAGGTAGAAACATGAGGCTGGTGAGAGCTCTCCTGAGCTCTCACCAACCATATGTCTTTTCCGCCTGGGAAAGTGGCAGGCCATCATCTCTCCAGGTGGAGAAGAATGTGGAGGGGAAGGCAAGCAGCTGCCAGAGAGATTTTCAGCAATGGTCTGTCTCCCCCTGTTCCTTTCATGCGTTCCCAAGCTGGAAAGAGGGCATGGTTCAGCAGATCTTCTCTCCACTCCCATTTAGTGACTATGAAATGTCAAATTTCAAATATTTTACCACAGATCTTAACCATAAAATTATCTCTCCTTTGTTTCTTTCTCCAGTGTTTAATAGTTGGAGGTGGTCCCTGTGGTTTGCGGACTGCCATAGAACTTGCCTTTCTTGGAGCCAAAGTTGTTGTGGTGGAAAAGCGAGACACTTTTTCAAGAAACAATGTTCTTCACCTCTGGCCTTTTACTATTCATGACCTTCGCAGCCTGGGAGCAAAAAAATTTTATGGGAAGTTCTGTGCAGGATCCATTGATCATATTAGTAAGTATGTCTGACTGGGAGAAATGACTGAAGTTCTAATTATCTACTTAGAAAGAGGCACAGAACACAAAGGTTCATGATTCATATTTTTGTAATTAATAAGGTAGAAATATTGGCTGCAGTTCATTGCACAACTACGTGCAGACAAGTCTTGTTGAACTTCGTTGAGCTTTTGCAGGGATGCAGCTCTTGCCCTGATATGGTATGCCAGTGCTTGACAATAGATTCAGATGTTGAAGCCAAAATCCATTGCTGAAAACTGTCGGTGCCAGGTATTTTTGGAAGAAGATAAAAGAAATGCTTCAGCTAATAGTTAATAGTACACTGTACCTCATTCCCTCTGTCTCCTATCAATATTTTTTTCTGTATCCTGGATGCCAAAGTATTTCTTCACATTTTCATCAAGTTTAAACCACAGAGTTCACATTTACTATTAGGCACATTCATGTGCTGAACATTTAAATTAAAATAAAAGAATTTTCATCTTAAGGATTTTTTTCTCTTTCCAAACCTACTTCTGCTCTGTTGATATGGTTGATTTGTACATAAATACTAAGCAATGTATCAAAGGTACCATTTGTTTTAATGGTGTTTTGTAAATCCAGACTGCAGTGTGATATTCTATAAAAACAATAATATCAATAGAGCATTTAGTGCTGATTTGACATGATTGGTACCATCAAGCCCAGTTGTTGTTCCACAAGTGAGTAGCAATTTCATCATATACCCACCAAATTCACTTTTAAAATACATATGATGTGTATGTGTTAATTTGCATGTATTGAAAGCCATTGTGGCATAGTGGGTAGAGTGTTGCAGAAAATGAGGAGGAGTGTTCAAGTCTCCATTGCGTGACAATGAAACTCATAGTTGATGGTAGCAGAAAATGAGGAGGAAAAGAAATCCCATGTGTGCTATCTTGAGTTCATTGGAAGAAAGGTTGTTTATAAAAGTAATAAATAAATATTTCCATTCTGTAGAATTGAAATATAGTGAAAGCAAGTTTAAATGCTAAATAAATTATCCTAAAAGAATAACTGCTGCAATTATGTCATTTTTGTTTCTTAGGTATTAGGCAGCTCCAGCTTATCCTCTTCAAGATTGCACTGATGTTGGGAGTCGAAATTCATGTGAATTTAGAATTCACGAAAGTTATAGAACCTCCTGAAGATCAAGAAAATCAAAGTATGGCATAGCTTTTATTAAAAACGACTACTACTCTAAAAAGGCCAGTGTGTTGAAAGATGTGAGAATGCACACTTGACAAGAATTGATACATGTTTTTCCCATGTGTATGTTTCTAGGCATTTGAGGTTAAATTTAGCTAAATGCCTACATTCCAGTTCAGTTCACCCTGATTTTCCCCAAAAGACTTTTAGAAGGCATGCAAGCTTATAAGCAAAATAGTCCTCAGGAAATCCTCTTGTTTGGGCATAAAGACAGGAATTTGGTCATAGAAATTAACCTGAATTGCAGTACAGCATGAAATCATCCAATGGTGGATGTTCATCTGCCAATACTGAATGTGAGAAATGTGTTGAGTTGCCAGGAGCCCTTTAGACCCATTAACAATATACATTGTTGGTTTTATGTATAATAACAAATGGTGCTAAAGCAATTGTGTAATTTTAGGATGATAAAAATAAGAATAATAACAATAAGTGCCAGTATATTATTCTTATTGTTATTATCATGCTACAATTACATAATAAGAATAATCACAATTTAAAAAATAGATATTAGTGCTGATAACATAGATTTTCAGAGACTTCATGGCCCAGAATTGTTGTTGAATCATATAAGTGCTCAGTGTTGGCTTCCATCTCAGTGGGACAAGTGAGCCCACCCCAGTTTATAGTATGATCGCCATGTTCAGAGTGAATTAATTGCTTTCTTGACACAAAAGCTACCACTGCAATGAGAAGTGAACAGTGATGAATGGACAGATCGAACTGTTTCATGTCTGGGTCAACTTTGTTATTATGTCCTTAGTCTGTTCTGCTTTCTACAATTCAAGGAGGGAGGGAAATCATATTATAAAATTGTCCTTGTTCTTTTCCCCAAGCACAATTTTTCCTATGGATTTTACTATCAAAGATGTGCTTAGAGTCCAGGAACAAATTACAACACTTCTTAGAGCAATTATTAGTATGACGAATAACTGAATTCTGTTCTCCCTGTTGATCCTGGAATTCCATATTAGATTAATTTCAGTGGGTTGTTGTGAGTTTTCTGGGCTGTATGGCCATGTTCCAGAAGTATTCTTTCACTTTCAAAATTTCAAACTTTCAAAATTTCACTTTGAAAGTTTAGGAGAACTGAAATTCTTCCTCGTTGCTTATGTCATTTTCCAAATAGTATTGGCTTGATGATTTAGGCTTTCCATAGTTTGCTGCTAGCATATTGCTGATTGGTTTAATGCTTTCAGAAATAGGTTGGCGTGCTGAATTTCTCCCAATGGATCATCCTTTATCAGAATACGAATTTGATGTTATTATTGGTGCTGATGGCCGCAGGAACACTTTGGAAGGTATGTTGTATGTGATGCTATTACTTATCTCAGTCACAATCTTAATAGTACAAAGTCTGCATATTTCTTGAAAGATGGATAATTGCTGAGTCTTAAATTATAACTTTTTGTCTTGGAAAAAATATCTCAAGTTGCATTTTTTTAAATTAAAAAAAGCTTAGTAATTTTATTGCTGCCTCAAAAGGTGCCCCATGTTTTTGGATTTTGCTTTACTGTACAGTAATATCTGGTACAAAGCTCTGTGACTACTATAATGAATTAGGTCATGATAAAATATAGCTTTTTGGTCATTGAGTCATAATTTCTCCATATCTCTTTCACCCTCTGCTCAAAATGAACACATATGTCACCTGTCAGTTTTATGAAGATATCTAAAGGGTTATTATAAAAATGCATAGGTGTTTTAAAAACTGGTCATTTTGATTAAGGGATTTGAGAGAATCAAAACAATGGTAGAAAGGAAGGAAGGATCATTTTGCAATAACTGTAAAACAATAATGATGCAATATCCACATCCCCTGAGTTGGCCTTTTTGAGCGAGACATTAGCTAAGCGTATCACGTGAATCGGCTGAATTATGTATGTATGCACATACTGGCTTTAATTAGCAGCATTTTAATTTTGTTGCTCAAGTAGTACTATACTGCATGCTAGCAGTTTGCCGAGTGATACGCCTATAAAGAGCACAGTGCAGGTACTTGAGTGGTTATTATGTGCACATAGTTGCACAGATGGTGCCGTCTTTGCCAAGCAGAAAATAGACACTTACTTTTCCAGCAGTGTCATGGACCAAAGTAAGTTCAAGAGTAAGGAGGAAGGAGACCATTTTGCAATGAAAAGAGAAACACCTAAGGCAGAGGGTGACGGTATGTGTCTTTACACAAGGATCATATACCTTCAAGGGATCCATTTAGAACTCTACTTGCACATGACATGTCTGTCTTATGTCCACTGGACCAGAGCTCCTTAAACTTTTCCTCTTGGTACCTCTTTTGAATCAAGAAGTTTTTACATGACCCTAGCTACATGTTGTTGTTGTTGTTCATTCGTTCAGTCGTCTCCGACTCTTCATGACCTCATGGACCAGCGCACGCCAGAGCTCCCTGTCGGCCGTCACCACCCCCAGCTCCTTCAAGGTCAGTCCAGTCACTTCAAGGATGCCATCCATCCATCTTGCCCTTGGTCGGCCCCTCTTCCTTTTGCCTTCCACTTTCCCCAGCATAATTGTCTTCTCCAGGCTTTGCTGTCTCCTCATGATGTGGCCAAAGTACTTCAACTTTGTCTCTAGTATCCTTCCCTCCAATGAGCAGTCGGGCTTTATTTCCTGGAGGATGGACTAGCTACATACATGTAATAAAACAGACATTTAAAAAACTCAGACATTTACTGATAACAAGTCAGCATTTGCAAGATTTCCTAAATATTCTGATTTTCCTGTTTATGAAGTGTAGCTGAAACGTCTTATTCAGAGTCCATTATAAACAACAGATTCATGTCAATGTCTCAAACAGAAAAGAATCCAGGAGAGAAAAGGAACTGAAATGTGATATGGTTTCACTAACTGGTATGGTTTCAAATAATAGTTGGTGTAATGGATAGAGGCAAGAAAAGAAGGAAGTTCAAATAATTAAAGGAGATGGTCAACATTATGCAAAGATTTTTTTCTAGGAAAAAAATGAACACTTTACTAATAGCTGAGAACTGATGCTATTTTATGAGACCCAAAATAATATTTGGTGAAAACAGCTTTGAACTTGGGATTTTTTTTTGTTATATATTCTTTAAGGTTTATCTATCATCAACTAACTGTTGAACAAATCCTTTATGACAATGTTGCATTGTGAAGAATGGCCTCATTTTTAGTCATAAAAATCTTTCCACAAATCCTTTATTTAGACTGGTGGACAATGTTGGTTTGTTTCCTTTGTAAGGCTTCAGAAGGAAGGAATTTCGTGGAAAGCTGGCCATTGCTATCACTGCCAACTTTATAAACAGAAACACGACTGCAGAAGCAAAGGTGGAGGAGATCAGTGGGGTTGCTTTCATTTTCAATCAAAAATTCTTCCAAGATCTGAAAGAAGAAACAGGTGGGTCATATTTTGCCTTTTAAGCTTGGTAAAATAAAATAAGATGATTTAACTAACTCTGTAGCAAGTACTGTATGTACCATTTATTTAAATGTGTGGGGAAATTGCTGATTTTCCTTTGCTGAGTGGAAGCAGACAGTTTTCTTCACAAACAGTTATGTCCTAGATGACAAAGTATCAATTATTGTATTTGTGTTGTAGCGAGAGTTAGGCAAAGTGTAGCCCAAGGGTCATGTGGCTCCTGGAGCCCACTGTTGTGGCCTGAGAAGTCCTCCAACCCAATCAACCCACACTCAATATTTTGAAAAGTGACAAATTTTCAGACATTTTTGTTCCAAACTATTCAGAAAGCCCCAGCGCACATGAATGTGTTAAAATACAGTGACAAGTACCACAAAATTCCATAGTAGAGGGTCATTGGGGGAAGGGCCTCTGGACCCCTTGTAGTTGTTTTAAATTGATGATGCCACTGCTTTAGTCCTATGCAGCATCTCAAAGTTTATTTTATGTGAAAATGTGTTTTGGACCTCTGAGAAGAGAAAAGGCTGAGATAGCATATTTGATGCTTGTGGTGAATACGCCTTCACATATTTAATAGGCTTGTGCAATTTGGCTGGAGGGTGATCCGTTTTTGGTTTTTGAATTTTGATGGTTACCCAGATCCATTTTCGGGAGCTCCCCAAAAATCAGCTAATAGAAAAATCTGTTTTTGGCTAGGCAGCTAAAAGATCCGGGAAAATCCAGCCCATTAGTGGGAATGGGGAATTTATGAGGCTCCCCTTTCAATTTCTGGGATCGTATCCTTTCCTTTCTTCCTTTAAAGGGAGTCTGGGTTTGAGCAATGGGGTTAAGAAAGCACTGTGTTAGACATGTCAGTGCATTCTTCTATTCTGATTGGCCCAACAGCCAGGGCTCATAGGGAAACCTCCTGCGAGCAGTACGCAGCAGCCTTTCTGCACACTGCATGGTGCCAAATGGGGGGGGGGAGGAACCATGAATGGCTGCCACATGGCCCCATTATGGGTGAACAACATGACTAGCCCTTACCATTACAGCCATCCAACCAAGCTGAAAAAGTTGGATTGGCTGAAGAGAATCCACCAAACCGAATTGTGCAGAAGCCTAATTTTTAATACTTCCATTTGAGAACCTTACAAGACCATGGTCAGCATCCCAACATCTCAGATACTATGAATCTCTTTTTGTTATCCTACATTTGTTTATCATATCATTCATAAAACCATAATAAAAGGAACTAACATGCACGAGCATTGTGTTACCCTGAAACCTATGATTGATTTTGATTGTGTGCCTCAGCCATGAGCGTACCTGTTGCTTAACAGTGGATCAGATCCTCCCCCACAAATTCAAATGTGATTGCAGAGTGATTTATTGCACTAAGGAGCACATTTATGCCATCACTGCTTGCACAACAATTGCTGTGCTAATATAGTGCCCCAGCAAAATTCTGGTCTATGAATGTTGGCTGACGCTGTGTGGATAGATTACCACTCATGTGTTGGAACTTGCCCCTCATCTACTTGCCCCTTTAACTGCCAATGTCAGGTTCTACTTTAAACAGGAACAGAAGGCCCCCGGCCTGTTGGTTCATACATTTAGTTCATGGAGCAGAGGAGGAGAAGAATCAGCTCTACCAATAAATGCTGCTGTAAAAGTGGAAGAAAGTGTCCATATTTCATCCTAACAAATACACAATGGCATAAACCTGTGGAGATGTGGGCTGAAACTTGTGAGAATTAAAGCATATTTTGCAATCAGTTTGTTGGACTCAAAAGTGTCACAAGATCTGTATTTGTTATTGTTCATCATTCTTTCTAGAGGGTGTGAACAAACAGAAATAAATGAGAATGTTGTTGAAGTATATGCCATAATTTTGATTGTCTACTATCACAATATGACTGGAGCATCATTTTAATTCATAGCATACTTTGAATTATGAGATCATGAAATTATGTTGCACACCTTTACAATAGAACTCATTTGTGTCATATTTATTTAATGTTAATCAAGTTAATAGTAACTGACAGAGCTGCCTTGTATGATGTCAGACCTTTCATTCATCTAGGTCAGCATATTCAATACTGTCTGATAGTAGTGATTCTCTTGGTTTTTAGCCAGGGTTGTTTCCTAGCCCTGCATGAAGATTTCCAACATTATCCTAGGGTCCTTTCACACAAAACTGTTATAGTGTGGTTCTACTTTTAACTTCCATAGTTCCATTCTTTAGCATCCTGATTTGCAGTTTAAGGAGAGATATTTAGAATTCCAAATCATAGGGCTCCAGTATGTCAGTAGACTGCAAACCCCAGAATGCCATAGGACACAACCATAGTGTGTAAAAGTACCTGCAGTGGTCTCACATCCAAGTATTAACTAGGTCTGGCCTTGCTTACCTTCTGAAATCAGACAAGTTTGGGAATGTTCAGATTGGCAGAATGGTTAGGGAATAGATAAGTGGGGAGGGGGATCTGATTTAATTTCCTTTTTCTCTTTCTACTCCCATATAATTGCTTGTTTGTCTTTTTTACAAAATCCTATTTGTTTGTGTGTATTTTTGCTCCTTAGGAATTGACCTGGAGAATATTGTTTACTATAAAGATAGCACCCACTATTTTGTGATGACTGCAAAAAAGCAGAGTCTTCTGGAAAAGGGAGTCATTATTAATGTATGTATTTACATGTGGGTTAATGTCTTCCATTTGTATACTTTTGCTAGGCTTGTGCTCCTGAAGAAATCTGAGCCATGATTTTGTATGTTGTATGAGATGGTGGTTTCTGGGTCCCAACTATGCAGAGTGTACAATGTGCAACATGCAGGCTGAAATCATTGATTTCTGTGTGGTAGCATGGCTGCAACTAGGGAAGGGTTTCTGTGCACAGGTGTGTGTGCCTCAGGGCTGAATCTTCTTCACCAGAGATTTGGCTGTGAGTCGGGGGCAGTGGGCAACAAGGGCATTGGCTCCCAAAAAAGAATGTTACCCTCACATTACAATTCAGTTGAGCATTTAGAAATATGAGAGCCAGCATGGTGTCATGATTTGAGAGTTGGACTATGACTCCGGGGACCAGGTTTCAAACCCCCACACTCAGCTATGAAAAAATCTCTTGGGTGACCCTGCGGAAGTCACACACACTCAATCCTAGAAAACACTCTGATAGGTACACCTTAGAGCAATGGTTCTCAATTTGTGGATCCCCAGGTGTTTTGGGCTACAACTTCCAGAAATCCCAGTCAGTTTACCAGCTGTTAGGATTTCTGGGAGTTGAAGGCCAAAACATCTGGGGACCCACAGGTTGGGAACTACTGCCTTAGGGGCACCATAACTTTGAGATGATAGCACACAGCAATTCAAAGAAAAGTGGCAAGCAAATTTATCAAGAAACACAGCATAGGTCAGAGCTCCAGATGTGAGCAGTTTTCAGTCTCTCTGCAATGCTAGAAATTTTGGGATTGAAAGAAAATTTCATTTGGGTGATGCCAAGTTCTCATTTGTAGGGAATAAGGCCTTCCTTTTGCCTCCTGCCTAACTATATATCTGCTTAAAATGACACTTTCTTTAAGCACATACATTATATGCATATTGGCCCTAAAGGGTTTTGAACTCCCGTGAGTGTTTGTGTGTGTTTAAATAAAAATCAAAGGCCGAAGTGTAACATATACCTCTATGTTCTGGTCTGGACTTGTATGATTTTGCCCTAAAGTAAGGAAATGAATGGTTAACATGTAATGAAGAATTATTAGACTGATACAAAGTGAATTGCTGGTATACTGGCATGGTTCAGCTTAATTTCTATTCATTTTTTAAAGAAGCGAGTTATCTTCTTCTCTGTCATAAAGCTCAAGAATGTGAAGATTATTTTTGAAGAAAAGTGGAACTAATATAGTAGCCACATCTTTATTAATTTTTTTGTTTAACATATTGAAACCTTTCCCCTTTGTTACAAAAAAAATTACGAGTTATCTTTCTTTGTGCATATGTGTTTTGGGTTGGAGGGTGGGGTGGGGGTAGGTCCCAACTATAAAGAGAGAAAGGTTAATTAATTTACTATTTAGGTGTTGAATGGCTCTCAGATATACAAAGTAGCATAAAATATGTAGCCTTGTTGACACATTTAAAAAAAATCAAAAGATTAATATAATATGTATCATATTCTAACCTCAAGCTCTTCCTCCTCCCATGTGGAATGCAGTGGTCTATTTTATGTCATAGTCATGGAAAGTTCTAAACAGCTCTAATGATACAGTGTTGTCTTTCCACCTAGGATTATATCGACACAGAAATGCTACTCTGTGCAGAAAATGTAGACCAAGACAATCTATTGTCCTATGCAAGGGAAGCTGCTGACTTTGCAACTGATTACCAATTGCCTGCTTTGGATTTTGCGATTAATCATTATGGGCAGCCAGATGTGGCTATGTTTGATTTCACATCCATGTATGCCTCGGAAAATGCGGCGTTGGTACGAGAGAGGCACAGACATCAACTCCTGGTTGCTCTTGTTGGAGACAGTCTAGTGGAGGTAGAGTAAAACTATGGCTGTGTGAGATGTGTTGTGTATTTGAAAAGGTCATTTTGTGCTAAGAAATACTTTGAAAATTGCTATCATTTAAAGATGTGCCATGATGAGAATTAGAAACATGGTATTTCACTTAAAAGTTTGAGCACCAGGAGTATTCCATGGTTGATTGAAAAGAGCAATCTGAGGTTTATATGTTTGAGCTTAGCCTGCAGGAAAGTTCCTTAGACCCCTCCCCTCATCTGACTGGTGCGAATGCCGGCCAGAACCAACTGGTCTTTCATGGGGGGGGGGATTCAGACTCTCCCCTCTGGCCATCCAGTTGCCTCCTTCTGTCCAGAGGTGTGTGTTAACTTAAAAGTCTGAGTATCAGAAGCATTTCATGGTTGAAAAGAGCAGTCTGGAGTTTATATGTTTGAGCTTAGCCTGTTGACTGCAAACTGTCACCCTAAATTGAAGTAAATATTTGGTATCTAAAGCACTGTTAAGGAATGAATATTCAGTCTTTGGATTTCAATTTTATCCATAGCAGCCAGCCTGAAATAAACAAAGAGAACATCTGTGGGTTTATCAGTGATCCTACTCTTTAGTTTAATGGTGAGCAGCTTCTTCAGAAAACATACACTCTGCCAACAACAGGAGCAAGTAGTGCCCATCGACTAACTCTACAATTTTCTGTGGGACCGTGCCTCTTCTCCTCGGCATTATGCCACTCTGTGTTGTTAGGCAAATACTTCCCCATTCACAGCATAAAGGAGTGCTAATGATAGAATGATTTGTGCCTGCATTGAAGGAGATGTTGATTTGTAGTATACCAGCAAGGCACCTGCTGTCCCCCCACCCCAAAAAGAACAGTCAGAGCTTTATGATAACTTAAGAATGCAGAAGAGTCAGAAGTCTAAAATGTAACTTATTTCACAGCCCTTCTGGCCGATGGGCACGGGTTGTGCAAGAGGATTTCTGGCTGCATTTGACACAGCATGGATGGTGAAAAGTTGGGCCCTAGGAAAGCACCCATTTGATATCCTTGCAGAAAGGTAAGACGTTGGTTGTTCTTCTCTCTTCCATATTATTAAGTGAAATTTGACCAACTGTCAGGAATTCTAGGAGCTAAAGTCCAAAGCACTTGGATGAGCAAAGGTTGGGAACCACTGCTCTATATGATCAAAAAGTTGTTGTTTTGTAGCAAATATAGAACCTTATAGAATGATTACTAAAGGTCTGCTACAATGATGTGATATTCCTGAACATTGCCCCTCTGAACATAGCCTCCTCACTCTCCTTCCAACATGTACCAAAGAGTCATCCCACAGTTCTAAAGAAACTTTGGATCTGTTCTGCTTCCTGCTCCTAAAATCATGTATGTCCCCCAGGTTTCCATGCTCATTGGTTAAGCATGGACAGCTTGCATGCAGAGACCTCAATTAATTCCTAAGAATCATAGATCATCCAGTCCAACCCCCTGCCAAAAGCAGGAAAATTGCATTCAAAGCACCCCTGACAGATGGCCATCCAGCCTCTCTTTAAAAACCTCCAAAGAAGGAGCCTCCACCACACTCCAGGGTAGAGAGTTCCACTGCTGAACAGCTCTCACAGTCAGGAAGTTCTTCCTAATGTTCAGGTGGAATTTCCTTTCCTGTAGTTTGAAGCCATTGCTCCTTGCCCTAGTCTCCAGGGCAGCAGAAAACAAACTTGCTCCCTCCTCCCTATGACTTCCTCTCACACATTTATACATGGCCATCATGTCTCCTCTCACCCTTCCCTTCTTCAGGCTAAACATGCCCAGCTCTTTAAGCTGCTCCTCATAGGGCTTGTTCTCCAAACCCATAGGGTTTGTTCTCCAGACCAGACCTTCATACATTTTTCCTGCACTGGTGATTGGGACCGAAGGATATTGAACATGCACAAAAATGTTTCCTGCTACTGTTGTGTGTATTTGAAAGCCACTGAACAATGCATGTTGTAGTTTTTAGTGGAATGAAGACAGAGGCTATGTGCTTACTGTTTATTGTAAGGACAAAGGGTGAAATCTAGTTAGCAGCTGATGAAAAAGCTGCTTTCAAAACCAAGTGGGGAGAAAGAGAAAATCTTGTTTTGTGTTTGCTCATGTAATCTGTGAATACACCACTACATTTTGCTAAAGAGCACTACAGCGTTAATTTTCCCATTTAAAGATGTGTGTAGACTTTAATAATTTCATATAGAGTAATTTTGGGATCACAGTCAACAGCAGCTTGAAGACATGCACACACAATTTTCAGGGAAACTGTTATTGTAACTTTTTCACTTACCCAAAGATACAGGATTCCTTGTAGCCATTCAGTAGCCCTCTTTCTCTGAACCTTTAGATCTCAGCCTCCTTTACTCATACAATTTCTCCATCCTCAGTACTTCATCTGTATTTGTGATACTATCACATTCTCTGCTTCTATAGCCTTCACAATTTTATTTGCAAATCTTTGTCCCTTCCCTAGAGTGGCTGAAAGGGTTATTGAGGATTTGGTTGGGGATAGCATTGTTTGAACAAGGGATGAAGTCAAGAGTCTAGACTTGAAATAAAGGTCACATAAGGGCTGAGAAAGCATATTTGTGGATGCCAAAAACACAGTGCAGTTGCAAATGGAAGCCTGGCTGACTAATAATGGTTGGGTGACTCTATATGCAGTGCAGTTCTGTGGTTAAAGGAGGAGTTGTTTTGAGAGTGAAGGGGGAAAAAATCAAAGCCAGATCATTTGGGATGATGTCATTTTATTTCTTACTAGTTATTTTCCTGCCTCAGGAAGGCATGCTTATGTCTGTCTCTGTTGTTCCCACCCCACATAGTTATAATGCTTAGACAATGTATTACAAGATGCCAGAGTTCTAAAAATAGACAGGAGGACATAAGGTAAAGAAAATATTGTGTACCTTATAATAACGCACAGTCCTTTGGTGTTTTTTTACCTTCCAGGGAAAGCATATATAGACTCCTACCCCAAACTACACCTGAAAATATCACAAAAAACTTTGACCTATATACCATTGACCCCGCAACACGATATCCAAACTTGAATTCAAGCTGTGTTCGTCCACATCAGGTAGGCGGAGGTGCAAATGGTAAAGAATTTGATGCATGCAAAATTGCTGTAGAAATTACTAATGTTTATGAAAACCAAATCCAAACCAAAACCCTGGTGTTTCTGTGTTTTGTTCATTTAAACATGTAGCTAGTAAACAAAATACTTAGAGATAACAGTCAAAATGCAAGTTTTCCTCATTTCTGCGATTATCTTGCAGTATTTTGTGGAATCTGAAATTTGAATAAATATTATGCTCAAGCTTGTTACCTTGGTTGGAGAATTGACATGGCTTCTTTGAATCTAAATCATAGAATCATAGAGTTGGAGGAGACCTCGTGGGCCATCCAGTCCAACCCCCTGCCAAGATCAGGAAAATCACATTCAAATAATTAGGTTGATTCTGGTCAGTGACCAAAAAAAATCCTATGGTATATACAAATAATTGGGAAACCAAGAATGTAAACCTTTTAGATTCAGCCAGTGGTTACTGTACAGGGAAAGTAGTAAGTAAACAGGAAAACCACATTACAGATGGATTGATTTAATCAAGGAAATCACAGTCACGGGTTTGCAACACTTAAGCAGGCAGTTAATGACCAGAGCTTTTGGGGATTCAAAGAGTTACCATAGGTCAAAGCTGACTCTTGACAACAAATGTTACCAACTCTTCTTCCTTTAGGTGAAGCATTTATACATTACGAATGAGCTGCAGTCTTGCCCTCTAGAAAGATCAACTTCCATTAGAAGATCAATTGGTATTTCAAGACAAGGTGGGAAATAACGTTCTGTTAGTATAGTTTTTACAACTTGTAACAGAAGAGATTGTAACTTAGAACAACTGATTATAACTTTTACACTATCTGTTATTTCAGAATCAGATGTAAGGCCAAACAAGCTTTTGACCTGGTGTCAGAAACAGACAGAAGGCTACAGGAACGTTAATATTACGGATCTCACTAGTTCATGGAGCAGTGGACTTGCCTTATGTGCAATTATACATCACTTCAGACCCGACCTCATGTAAGTGTTTATTCTATGTGTAATGCTTGGTAATCACAGTTTCCTTATAAAAGTAGAGGCTAGAGAATTTGTTTGCCTTTTTAATATGTTTTCTATACTTTAATGTATGCATGTTTTTGCTGTTTTCTTCCACCTTCTTGGACTGTAAAGGATATCATTTCAAAAACTTCCTTGAGATTTTTAACTGTATCATTTTTGCTACAGTGCAAGGTGTTGTTTGTAAAGGAAGAAACTTCTATCAAGATAGCACATCTATCTGTCTGTCTGTCTATCTATCTATCTATCTATCTATCTATCTGATGTTTGAACAGTAGAGGGAAGACTATATAGTATTCCTGTTTGAGTCCTTTTTTCCTGTTCAATTGCCAGTAGAAAAATATTTGAATATTATAGTTTGCTACCAGGAATTATGTGTGCTGTTTTTGCTAATTAACCCAGTTTGGACTTGGACGTGTACAGACATAATCTTGTAACAAATGCATAACCTTGTCTTTGTGATTTGTTTACTAAATATCTTGGTTGGAGCAGTTCCAAACTGGGAGTTGCAAAGAGCTCATGCAGTTAATAGCACCTTCAATCTTTTGTATGGCCTACATCCTTCAATGGGATGGACAGCACACATCACCCATTGCATTTGTGTGATGTGTGTGCAATGCCCATTGTGAAGAGAGCACTAGGCAGACTTGGATTTAAAACAGGCAGTCATGGCTCAGAGAGCCGTTAATGTGGGCTCTAGGAGAACAGAATATCTCAAAAGACTGAGGCATGCCTCTGAGGGAATTCAGAAAGTCTTTGAAGCTATTAGGGTGTTGTGCTGACACAGGCAGATTTTGAGCTAATAGAAACAGAATTTGGGATTTGGGAAAAAAAGGAGAGTGGCTTTTTTCTCCCAAATGTTGGGGAGCCTAAATAATAGATCAAAGTTTAATATATTTTTTCTAGTGTGTTCAATAAATCTATTCTTGTTGTTGCTTTTCACCTGTCTCTGGATGACTGGTAGCTTGGAGTTAAACCAAACATACCAAACAAAAGAATCCACACAATAGTGCAGTCACAACTTCTCATTTAAGGGATATAATTTTGACTGGTTGTTCTGACACGACAAATAAATATTTAAGGGATCACCCTGAGGCCCAGCAATCCACTCCAGCAAGAGAGTAATTGGAGAAACAAGGACAGGCTGAGTGACAGCATTTCCAGGGTGAGAGTTTTGAAGCCAGCCTAGGTAGAAGGATTGGTCACACCCACCCCTCCACCACCTTGACTCTGCCATAAACTTGAATACTTCAGTCAAAATAAGTTTGGGCTGAAATCAAACCAGCACTTTCTGCAGTCGCTACTAGACATAGTTTTGCCATCTTGGTGCCTTGGCTCTAAAAGTCTAAAAGACCCAATAAGAGTGGGCTTTTTCTCAACCACAAAACACCTGGAAATCATGGTCAGTTTGGAACATGCCTAAAAAAGCCATGTCAGCATATTTTTTGAAATTATCCCGCACAGGACCCAGAGGGCTCCTGAAAACATTTTCAGACACACATTAATTTACAAAGTATTATTGGAGGGTGGAGTCTGGTTAGTTAGGATGTGCTAGGGCCCGTGGGGGGACTTCAGCAAACCAAGAAGCCACATTTTGGCCACTCCTGTCTTAAGTGCATGACTTGAAGTCTGTATATTAAGTCTTGTGTTCTTAGTATCAAAGCCGAAAAGAGCACTACTAGTCACCTTACCTAAATCATTTTGTTACATCCTTGTTCATACATAGCACCCGTTCTTCATGGATTTGTTTTGGGGTGTTCACACTCTGCCATAAGTTCCAGGTAGTAACAGTATATTTTTAAAGCATTGGATAACATTTCATGACTATGAAAAAGCTTCTTGGTGGTAAAACAGCTTCAGTGATCAAACCCTGAGGTTCAGGGAAGAATTTGGATGTTTTTGTCTCTCATCTACTTATGTGCCCCAGAATAAGACTAATCCCCCTTGGATCTGACAATCCCTGTTCCACTGCATGCTGTTCAACAGATGAAACAAATCCTTTATGACTTGCGGTTCTTATGTTTTCCATGTAATTCAAGTATGAATTAGAAGGTGATAGTGACTCAAAATGGGAGTCAGTCATGATTTGTGGAACATAATAAACTGCAGATGGATCCAGCCAAGATAGTAGTGCTTAGAATTTACAACATGACATACTATTGTGATATTGTCACATTTCCTCAACAATCTAGCAGTTGCCATTGATTTGGGATACCTTGAATGACATCAAAGTGTTATTATGTGCCCTGTGGTTAGAGTTTATACCTTTTGTTTGGTACATGTTTTGTGACATATATTTGTGTATGTGTTTTTAAATGAAATGTTATAAAACACAGTGTAAGTTAACATATTGGATAAACTGTAACTAAGATAACTTCCAAGGCCATCCAATAAGTTCAAAGTTGAAGGGCAGTTTGTGTCATGATTCCAGCTGATTCTTGGATGACACATATGCATTTTTCCACAGACAAATTGAATAGTTTATTCTAGTTTATAGGCTATGTTTCTGAGGAAGGCAGTGGCAAACCACCTCGGAGTATTCCTTATCTAAGAAAAGCCTATTAACTTCATAGGTTTGCCATAAATTGACAGGTGGCTTGAAGACACACAAACACACACACATTTTAATTTGTGGCAGTGCTTTTGATATATATTGCAAAGCAATCTGATTGTGCCTGTGTAAGGTGGGGAATTTGCTTTCTTTTTTGGCATTTCCTAAGCAGTACCTTTCCAAGGAATCAAAGCAGACTTTTTCAAGGGTTTCTTTAAAAATATTTCAGTAAGAAAGATCATGATTCAAGAGGGAAATGTTCTCAAAATACCTGACATAATCTCTGTTTCACTGGTACGTCCTTTTCTTTACACCCCCTCCCCCCCCAGTGATTTCGATTCTCTGAATGAAGAAGATGCTGTCAGAAACAACCAGCTGGCATTTGACATTGCTGAACGAGAGTTTGGAATTCCTCCCATCACTACTGGGAAAGAGATGGTGTCTGCCGGGGAGCCTGATAAACTCAGTATGGTCATGTACCTCTCCAAATTCTATGAGCTATTTAGAGGAACACCTCTCAGAGCAGTGGGTAAGCCAATCTCCATTGTGCTTGTGCTGAAGAGGAATCAGGACATTCGTGGTTTTACAGCCTGTGTTATTGACCCTGAAACTGTTCCAAAGTTTGTCTTACAGCTTCAGTTTTAACTGCCCTGGAATGCTTAACTGTATTTAGCTGTATGCTGTAGCTATCCCAGTCTTTAAAAGGAAACAGGGAATGCTCAGTGTCATTCACTTGCTCTGTTTCTTCCAAAATCATTTTTGGGAGATCACAATGACACAGTTATCATCATTCACCTTGACTTAATAGGTCATTGTAATATTTCAGCTGTTGGCCCTGGACTTGTTGATTTGCAGCCCCCTCCCTTTTTGGACTCCATATATAATTTTGTTCTATGAAACAAAGACTGTGCCAGATTTGTTGAGATGTGCTCTTTCCCCAGTGCTACCAGCATTAGGCACAAAACTACAGGTCTTGGTTCACTTTGTTGCTTTGTATGTGGTCCTCAGAATAATTGAACCCTTCCTCTGTTTCACCATGGCAAGAACTGAAAGCTAGTTTAGTGCATGATGGATGAGTTTAGATCCAATCACATCAAAATATGAACCAGCAAAGAACTTTCAAGTCCATAGTGCAATGAAGTAACTGTTAAAAAATGCTAAAATGCCAGGAAGGTACAGTTTGGGGGCATCAGTAGTCAGAATACTATGAGATATTTTCAGATCATATTCTGGGTAACATTTAGAGAATAATAACAACCATCTGGACTGCAAGCTTTTCTGCATTAATCTAAAATAAGCTCCATTGAGCATTGATAATACTTTGGACATGGATGTATCGTGTAACTCATAATAGGCTTGGTCCAATGTTTCCCAGAGATGTCTGTTTGTGCCAAGCTTTTGTAGTTGGCCAATGTCACTCCAGGATTATCCAAGTTGTGACTCAGCGCAGGTCCAGAATTAAGTCTTGCAATGACATATTGCTGTTTTTAGATATGTTGCTGTACTGTAGGCCTTTCTTCATATCATTGAGAATTGCAAAATTTTCTTTTTAAGAGGAGTATTCCTATAGCCTATTATGATGGTGGTTGGTGTCCTTAATTTTTTTCCCCCTTTTGTCTTTCAACAGGTACTGTGGGCAAGCAAAATGGAGAAAGAAATGATATTTGCTCAACAAAATCAACCAACTTTATCTTTAATAATTACATCAACCTAACATTTCCAAGGAAAAGAGTTCCTAAAGTAAAAACAAACGCTTTTCCTTAATTTGTTTCCTTATTTTTTAATCTTTTAAAATGTTTCATTTATAATTACTATGTGGAACTCCTTTGCAAGTAACTCATGCTGGTGACCAGCAAGTTATAAAATAATCAATGGTGTCTTTTGATTAGCAGTAAAAGTCAAACATGCCTTCATATCCAGAGACTTAGGTCACTATCCTGGCCTTTTTCAAACTACTATAGCACTATAGTTCTGTCATATGAGATCCTGGAATTGGCAATGCGGGAAGAGGCCTTTGGAATTCTTAGAGCACTTTAGTGGCTCTGGTCAACTACAAATCCCAGGATTCCATAGAGTGGACCTATAGTACCTTTCATAGTACCATATAATCCTAGAAGAGGCCCTGTGAGCCATCAAGTCCAAGACACTTCATGCAGGATCTCCAGCTAGAGCATCCTCAGCAGATAGTTTCAGATTTTTCTTGAAGATATCGAGAGAAGGAGACCGACCATCTCTGTAGGCATTGCTAAAGCATAAATAATAGAATAATAGAATCATAGAATCAAAGAGTTGGAAGAGACCTCATGGGCCATCCAGTCCAACCCCCTGCCAAGAAGCAGGAATATTGCATTCAAATCACCCCTGACAAATGGCCATCCAGCCTCTGCTTAAAAGCTTCCAAAGAAGGAGCCTCCACCACACTCCGGGGCAGAGAGTTCCACTGCTGAACGGCTCTCACAGTCAGGAAGTTCTTCCTAATGTTCAGATGGAATCTCTAATTACATAGTGTGAAGGGGATTTTACACTATATAATTGTAGTAGTTGTGCAGGAATTGTGCTTTTTCAGGTTGCTTAAAGCTGCTAGACAGCCATCCCATAAGCATACACAAATGCACACACAGACCACTCTTCTTCAGACTTGGAGCTACTGGGCCATTATGCAGTGACCATAAGGTCATGGTGTCTCCTCTGCAATTAGTTGCGCAACTCTGTAGTTCAGTGTAAATATGCTAGCATATATTCATATTCACCAAAATGCTTGAAATTTTGACTAAAATGTCTCTCTTTTTGTCAGATCAAAAGGAATCAGGGCTGCGTGCATTCCACTTTCTCTACTTCTGTGAAGTGACTAAGAATATTTTAATCAGCCATGTTGATTTAAAATTGGATCAGGACTAAGTTTCGAGTCATGATTGTGTGTTTCAATGAATAAAACCAGTGTTCATTTAATGTGGCCCTATTTTGTTCTTTAATGTATCTTTCCCCCACTGGTTCAAAATAACTCAGGTTAGAGAAGGAAGCCTTTGAATTTCATGCTGGAAAAATAACTAGTATTGTAACCTATGGCTCATTTTACACTCAACATGCACTACCCCCTCTCCCCATTTGATTATTTTCTGCATAAAAGATATACTTCGGTGATGATTCAGATATAACAATCATGTTTTTAGTCATCTACAAACAGAGACTGTAGAGAACTAACTTCAGACAAAATATTGGTAAACCTAAAGGTAAAAGGCAGGCCATGCACTGGGCTAAGCTAGGTTAATTTGGTAGCAACAAAATGCTACAATAAAGTTATTGAGATGCTCATTTGTGGGGAAAATACCCCCGTCCACCAAATCCACTCTTAGGTTTGCAGACGTTTTACTAGCACAGAAGGAGTTTCTTCCACTCCTGTCCCTTCTACAGTTACCTATGCTGTCTGAAAAAAAATCTGTCTGAGGCTGCATTTGCACTGTAGAATTAATAGTTTGACACCGCTTTAATTGCTATGACTCAGTGTTATGGAATTGCAGGAGCTGTAGTTTTGCAAAGCTTTAACTTTATCTGCTGAAGAGTGCTAGTGTCACCAAACTACAACTCCAGGATTCTAGGTGCATTAGATTTACAATGTTGATGCACCCTAATATTATTTCCAGTCCTCTGGAACAGTTTCTGAAGGTCCAGTGGGAGCCGTGAAGGGGATGAACAGCGATAGCCCAACTCTGTTCTCCTGATGGGGATAGAACCACTTAAGGAATAGCACGACTGGATCAGCCCTAGAAAAATTATTTGCAGAAAATCATTTCACAGTGTTGTCAGTTTTCATTTCTATTGTTAGTGTCAGTGTTTTATTGCTGTCTGTATTCCTGGCAGTCTCAAAATGCAGCTTTTGGTACTGAGTCATTGAAAATAGAATAGGCAAAGGGTATTAATTTTGTACCATTTCAAAGGGATTCCTGGATCAAGCAGGAAATGAAATAATTATGTGTTACTAAGATTCTGTCAAGTGCATCTCTTGAACGCCACTAAATAAAGTTTAGAGTCAACCTTTCCAAACACAAAGTGTAAGATCATTCTTGTGTTGCCTATTCTATAAATAACACCCTCAAATCATGTGAATGTTCAGCTACCAGCCAGTCACCTCATGCCCTTTTTAGGAAACAACATTTCTTCACTCAGCCTTGCAAACAAAACAGACTGCCACATTGCTCACCAAATGTCCAACTGACAAAAACCAAATTTGCCAATAATTGTTCCTTGTAAACAATTTAAAGATTGATTTCCAAAAAAACTTGAGATGTTTCAAGATGTCAGGTGTAACATCACATCAATGATGTGTCATCTCTTACAATGCTGTGAATATTCATAAACATAAATGATTTGTGATACAGTATGACCCCAGGGCCTCCTGGTGGTGCAGTGGGTTAAACTGCTTAGCCTCTGAACTTGCTGTTTGAAAGGTCAGCGGTTCAAATCTGGGGAGCAGAGTGAGCTCCTACTGTTATCCCCAGCTTCTGCCAACCTAGCAGTTCAAAAAGATGCAAATGTGATTAGATCAATAGGTACCCTTTCAGCAGGAAGGTAACCATGCTCCATGGAGTCATGCTGGCCACATGACCTTGGAGGTGTCTACGAACAACGCTGGCTCTTCGGCTTAGAAATAGAGAGGAGCACCACCCTCCAGAGTTGGGCACAACTAGACTTAATGTCAAGGGAAACCTTTACCTTTACCTATGACCCCAGTATCTGAGGGACTGGAATCCATGGTTTCATTTGTCCATCTCTGATCAAATATATCATCTCTCAGCATTTTCTAGTTTGTCCGGTACACCCCTTTCATTTCAAGAAGGTTCACTCTTATCTGTAACTTCATGTATCCATGCAAAGTCCAGGAATGTATAGATATTAGTTAGGAATGCTTCTCAAATTTTCTAATTTTGTGCAGTTTCCCTTCCCCAGTTGGGCAAATAAAATGCTAGTGACATAGCATAAACTTGCAAGTGTCAGAATCAATACTTATCATATTAAGATTTGGATCCAAAGGTCTGAAGAACAGAACTCTGTTCACAGCACTGTTCTACTAATGCAATGATTCTGAACCTTTGGGTCCACAGGTGTTTTGGCCTATAACTCCCAGAAATCCCAGCCAGTTTATCAGCTGTTAGGGTTTCTGGGAGTTGAAGGCTAAAACATCTGGGGACCCACAGGTTGAGAACCACTGTACTAATGGAAGGAAGAAGACATATTTTGCCATTTCCTCTCCTCTATTTCCCTTCTGCTCCAGAGTGTTGGAATACCCCTCAAAAGTCCATAAGAAGGTGGGATGAGGCATTGCAGACATTTTTTCTCTTCCTCCCAATAGTTGGAGCCCACCTGTTCAGTGAAAATTCATCTTACTATCAACAATACTTCTGATGTAGACAAAATCTGGCATTGTCCACAAAGAATGAAATCATTACATTTTAATATGTACTTTTTTGCATCTCAATAGTTATTGGTAGGATTGTTCAGGCATTAGAAGTACTGGCACTGAAAGCTTAGTTCTTAAACATAAGTTTGTAAAATGCATTTTCTCAAGTGAAATACTATGAAATATTAACTATAGCTGGTGCTGAATTTTGTCGATATCACTTGATTTCCAGTGCACCACTATTTCTGAAATAACAATACTGGATAACTAGTTATCACTTGTTAAAACATTGATTATTTAGCAAGTGTCACAACTGAACAATATTAATTGGGGAAAAGGAAAAAAAATGTTTCCTTCTATTTTAAATGTGACTTATCTTTTATCAACAAGTGGGTATTGGATTCCAAAAAGGCTACATTTAGTTTTCTGTGTATTACATTCATTTAAAAATTAGTTTTTCCATGCTGCAGATGATAAAGTGGGTTAGGAAGGGTGTGGTGAGTTTAAGAGAAAAGGCATTTTAAGCAGAAGGTAATGCAACTGGTTCTCTATCTGGGAAAGAAAGCACATTCAAGATTAGCACTGTTATAAGATCTTGGAAATCAGTGTTCTATTGTCCTTTGAGAGAGAATGTACAATCCCAGTGGAACAAATTGTGCCACTTTAATGTTTAGTCTTGTCGGGCAGACTAATGCTTACGTAGGATATGCTGCTATGTTTGTATGACTTGCTTCTTGGAAGATCTACAATTTAACATACTGTCATCTGTTTCCTTTGGGTGCGGCCCAAAAGTTAGGGGTGGGATAATTCTTGTTCCCTTTTTGACAATTTATTATAAGTACTGAAAATATAAAAAGGAAGCCTGTGTTTCTTTGATCTTTTTCTCCATTTGTAAAACTGGATTGCAAATTACAAGGCTGCTACGTTGATTGATTTGAGAGTTTACAGTGACATGGAAAGGCTGAAATATAATTTATCTGTCTAAGCATGTCAGTTATTTTTATAACCTGATCAAGAGCCCATGATTTAGTTAATGAAGGTTGCAGCATTGAAACCACTAATCCACAAGGGGTAGCTTTTAACAACCCATGTTTTATGAACTGAACCTGATGGATTATGTTGGCACTGGATTTTCGTGTTGTGTAGTTCTAACCTCTGGAACTAAGTTAACTACAGCTGAAATTAGAACAGTAGGGATGCTTATTAGACTTAGATCTTGGGAACTTTATGATGTGTGAGAAGGTGCCTGAATCTTCCAAGTTTCAAGTGTAATGAGCATCCTTTCATGTTATGATTTCACTTTAATCACCATAGCAACACCATATGGGGGACACCTGGCTTGAGAGCAGTACATGTGAAAAAGATCTTGGAGTCCTCATGGACAGCAAGTTAAACATGAGCCAACAGTGTCATGTGGCAGCAAAAAAAGCCAATGGGATTTTGGCCTGTATCAATAGGAGCATAGTGTCTAGATGTAGGGAAGTAATGCTACCCCTCTATTCTGCCTTGGTTAGACCACACCTGGAATATTGTGTCCAATTCTGGCCACCACAATTGAAGAGAGATATTGACAAGCTGGAATGTGTCCAGAGGAGGGCAACTAAAATGATCACGGGTCTGGAGAACAAGCCCTATGAGGAGCGGCTTAAAGAGCTGGGCATGTTTAGCCTGAAGAAGAGAAGGCTGAGAGGACATATGATAGCCATGTATAAATATGTGAGAGGAAGTCACAGGGATGAGGGAGCAAGCTTGTTTTCTGCTTCCCTGGAGACTACGACATGGAACAATGGCTTCAAACTACAAGAAAGGAGATTCCATCTGTACATTAGGAAGAACTTCCAGACTGTGAGAGCTGTTCAGCAGTGGAACTCTCTGCCCCGGAGTGTGGTGGAGGCTCCTTCTTTGGAGGCTTTTAAACAGAGGCTGGATGGCCATCTGTCAGGGGTGCTTTGAATGCAGTAATGCTTCTTGTCAGGGGGTTGTACTGGATGGCCCATGAGGTCTCTTCCAACTCTATGATTCTATGATTCTAACTATATGCAATCCTGGGGTTTGTAATTTGATGAAGCATTGGCGTTCTCTTGGTATTAATTCTAAAAACCTCTTCCTAAACCACAAAACCCAAGTTTTCATAGGCTGCAGCCATTTAATCAAAGTGAGGAAATGGTGTTAGAATTGTGTGGTATGAAAGGGTTTCAAATTCTGGGCAGCAAGGAACTATCAAACTGACTGGGTAATCTGGAACCAAACACACTATCTCATAAGGTTGTCCCTAGATAAAAGAGGGTCGAAGGCCATGTTCATGTGCTTCAACTCACTGGATGAGAGGTAGAAAATAATGTAAATAATAGCTGAATACTTTTTTTTAGTATTCAGAGCCTAAGGCAAGATTTTAGATATTGTGTCTCTTCAGCATCTCATTCAATGGTTTTAGCCGATGTTTGTATAATAAATGAATAGATTTTGGATGTTCATACAATGTTATCTCATTTTTTGTATTTTTTTAGGCAGAAGAAAATGAAACCAATAAAAGGCGGCGTAAAAGTCTCATTAATTTTGAAGAGGTTGGTAGAAATTATCATTTGCAAATTTGTTTGCAAGAGATAGAAAGCAAAGATAGGGAAAATTGTCCACATTTAGTTTATTTAACCACTCAATTTGTCTAAAACAAGCAATCTTTTTATGCATTATATATTTCATTACAAAGTAAATAGCCGTAATGTAGCACTTACTTTAGGTATGCCCTTTGCTGCAGACCTGAGGCATACACTTGAGTAAAATGTATTTTAAAATCCTGCTTACATTTTTCATTTGGTCTTAGTATCATACATTAGCAAGTATATAGAACAGATACTTAAGAAGGGGAAAACATCCCTAAGCATTGGGATTAAAAGGTGATTACTTAGCAACATTGGCAGGTTTTTATTTTATTTTTACCAAAAAAGAGTCATTTTTTGCTATTTTTCAAGCACAGTAAGAGAAGTAACTGGCACTGAATGGCAGTCAGTGTGCCCATGGCAGGATGCCCCTGTCCCTAACTTTCCTAGAGTATAAATATTAGATATGTTTCTGTTCTTTTATTTGATTACAGTCCTCAAGTTCTTTGAATCATGGAACAAACTCTAATAACCAACTAGCAGATGTTAAAGAAGCACTAAATGGAAACAAAGTGAAGTCTATGGCAACTCAGCTTTTAGCCAAATTTGAAGAAAATGCTCCCAGCGTTTCAATACGGAGGCAGGTAAGTAAGAACTGGTGGTGAAATCCACCTTTGGAATTGGAAGAAAGTTTCTGAGGGATAACTTGCCAAGTTTTTGCAAGTAAAAACTGCTTGTCAGCTTTCTCTGAATTGATGGCAAGAAACATATTTTCTCCCACATTCGTATTTGTTTCTAGTCAGTAATTTTAAGGATTTATTTCACCTATCTTTACTTTTACAGCAGAAGTCTTCTGGGCAGTGCTGTTCCATGCCAACTTTAGAGTTCATATGTACACAAGGAGTATTTTACATTACTATAGATTGTGCAGTGAGAAGAAACAGGACCTTTCTGATCTTAGTGTCATGCCCAAAGTATATACAGATATTTCTTCTGTGAGGAAGCATAAGTACATCCACTACACAGTATTATATGCTACCTATTTTTCCTCTATTATTGGCAAAATTTGAAATGTTATTGCCTGGGTTCATGTTAGCCTGACTCTGAATCTAAAATAGTTTAATACAGGAATTAGACTGCAGTTTGTTGTTATAATGCTCAATAACTAGCTTCTGGCTGATCAATTTATGGCAACTTGAGGAAAGCTTTGTAGCCCTTGCTCAGGTCAAGTTCTTCTCATTTATAAATTGGAATTTCTAGTGACTAATGTCTTTAATAGGAGTACGTAGATGGCTCAAGTCTAGGTTTTAGAATGACCTGTAAAGGATATGTTCAAGGTGCTGCACCTATTTTGGAGATGGGATTGACCATATTGGATAGTTGTTATAAAATCCAAAACATATTTACCAGATTCACCCTGACATGACAGCTATCAGCTGCAACTGCCCTGTTTCTTCACTAGAACCATGCACCTAGGTTAGGCAAAAGAATATCAGAGGACTTTTTACCCAATATAGATTCTGTTTCTAAACTGACATTTTCTAAGAGAGTGGTAAGGAGCATGTGGTTTTCCAGTGTTACAATTTCCATTAGCATTAGCTAATCTGGCCAAGGTTGAGTGATGCTACCCAGCAACATAGAAGGCGTCACATTCTCTTATCTCACATCACATGGGTTGAGGATGTACTAATGAAGTTGTCATTCCTTTACTCCAGAACTGTTGTTTGCTTTTGGTGATTTGCATTTGTAATAAGAAATCTAGAATGATTCAAGAGCCTGGATATTATAGTTAGATTACTTTAAAAGCTATTCACCCCATTATGAGTTATAATTTAGGTTTTGAGTTAATAAGGATTTATGGGTGTTATGCTTAAATAAAAATATAGTCTTGGGTTATATGGAAAGGTTGTAGCTTGTTTTTATTTATGGAATTGTCTTTCAAATGATGCTTCTTCATATTAGCCTTCTAATAAGGTTCACAGAGGCTACTAATCCATGAAAATGTTTTTTAGCCCAACAGCTAATACATGTTACAGAAGGAACTTGTGGATGCCTTAAAACAGTGGTTCTCAACCTATGGGTCCCCAGATGTTTTGGCCTTCAACTTCCAGAAATCCTAATAGGTGGTAAACTGGCTGGGATTTCTGGGGTTGTAGACCAAAAGTATGATGCTGGGGAAAATGGAAGGAAAAAGGAAGAGGGGCCGACCAAGGGCAAGATGGATGGATGGTATCCTTGAAGTAACTAGATTGACCTTGAAGGAGCTGGGGGTGGTGACAACTGACAGGGAGCTCTGGCGTGGACTGATCCATGAAGTCACGAAGAGTCAAAAACGACTGAACAAATGAAGAACAACAACAAGACCAAAACACCTGGGGACCCACAGGTTGACAAACAATGCCTTAAAAATTAGGACATCTTTCTGTCAGCAAAGTTGTCCTGCCTAATCATTGGGTTCATTGCTTCCTTCCTAATATAAATTTCATTGTGGGAGCAGAAGTGATTCTAAGGTAGAAAAGTTAAATGTTACAAAGGACAATTCTTTTCACATCTCACTATCCAATTCTGCTCAGATGTCTCCAGCACTGCTGCTTACATAACCAACCAATTTGCATGTCACCTCCTGTTGGGCCCTAATTGCAGAAACTACCAATTTATGTATTTCAGATATTGCTGAATTTCTATCTTTTGAGGTACAAACTATAATATCTTTATAAATCCCAACTCAATCTTACTGAAACTCAGACAAAACTCTGCTGCTTCTCTCCAAAAGTGGTCCCCCCCCCTTCTTTCTTCCTCATGGTGTATTTAGTCATATCCCTTTACTTCTTAACAATTCTTTTTCTTTCCTTGGGTATTCTACTTTATATTTAAGGAACTTGTAGATCAACCTGCTTTGCACCTTTCTCCTGAATCTCCTATAAATCCTCGCTTTGCTAAACCCAAGGAACCTATAAATCCTCACTTTGCTAAACCCAAGGAACCAACCTGCAACCCACCGCCTCCTTCAAAAAGCCAGGTAGGCATCCACAGGAGAGTGATCTCTTTATTTGGAAGTACTTTCCAATATTGTTGCTGCAGAGTGTGGTGGGTGATGCCTGACTGCCTTCTTTTAAAAGAAATTATGAACATTTTAAAAGTGAAACCCAAAGATAAGATGAAGTACCAGGTCATGTTTAGCTGTCCTCTGAAGACTGTATGTGATCCTTTGTTTTTGTTGTTGTGTACTTTCAAGTCTTTTTTAACTTAAAGCAACTGTAAGGCTAATGTATCATCAGATCTTCAGGGCAAGATATATGCAAATAAGGTTTGTTATTTCCTTTGAGGAAGTTTCCTCTGCCAAGTGGGTACCCTGGTCTCCCAAAGTCTTAGCCAGCATTCAAGCCACTTGCTGAATTTCTCATTGTTCCTTACCACAGAAATAGTTAAAGGAGTACACAAAGAAAGAAGAGAGCCAACAGAATTATGTGATCTTTTGCTGCTGTCTTTAGATTTTTAATCAAGATCATAGTATAAGGGTTCACATGCCTATTTGAGTAGTTAACAAGTCAGTTGACATCTCTGTAATAAAATAGGTGCCAAAGTCTTGCACTACACATAGAAATTTGCCTTCCCTTTTAAATCTGGGAGGTGAGGGACCTGTGGTCCTCTGGATCTTGTTGGAACTATAATCCCAACACTTCCGTCTGTACAACTGATAGTCAGACTTGTTGTAATTCATCATCTTTTGAGTTACCACAGTTTTTCTGACCTGTTTTAAGCCTACCCATGCTAAAAGGGTCATGGAGTTCAGCTCTTGGATGAGGACAGAAGATGGAGCGCCCTCATTATTGAAACAATCTAGAGATGGGACAGGAAAAAAATCATGGCCTCTGATAAATCAGAATCAATATAAGGGGGGAAATCATCATAATTACCTGGATAACACAGTGCTTATTCTAGTGTATGCTGCCTGTTGGAACACTTGAGAAATGAGTGGTTTGGCTCAAATTGATGACTTTCATATAGTTAGTTGGCACAGAAACCAGTGAAAGATCAAGAGCACACTTCTAAGAAAACTCTACTAATAAATCCAGTGTTTTTTCAGATCTTCTCCCTGTAGTGTTTTGTGGTTAAAAAGGTCTGACTAGTTTCTCATGTGTTTCAGCATACTCTTAAGCTTCCCATTTCTGAATTATTCCCTTGCCTTGGCATCAGATACAAACTATGGTGGCTTGCTAGAAAATCCAGTCTTAGTTTTTGTTGAAACAATATGCCTATTTCGATTTAAGAATCAGCTGTGACTACTGGAAACTCCACACCTTCTCTATTAGGCAGGGACAAACTTCATCACTCCAAGTATTTTGGACTTCTACTCCCAGAAATCTCAGCCAGATTACCGACTGTTAGGAATTGTGGGAGCTGAAGTCCTAAATACCTGGAGGGAAGTTTGCCCATGCCTGTTATCGATTGCATTCAGGCAGATGTATTGATAGGTGTGTTCCTATCAACACTATTTATCTTCTTTATTTGATGACTCATAAATTAAATTTGGTAGAAATGATGTAGCTCTCCAGCTGTTGCCAACTGCAGCTCCCAGCATTCTTTACCACTGTCCTGCTGGATAGGATTGTTGGGACTTCTGTCCAACAATATTTGGAAAATTGCATGTTTCCTAACCTTGGGCTAATTAGAGAAGATCTTATGTTACTAGTCAAGGAATATATTTTTAATGTTAATAGTGGAGTTTTATTCTCTAGAATCTACTGCATGTTTGATGATTGGAACGGAATATGGAAAATGAGATTGGATTGTGATTCTATGATGAGACGTCGTGAATGATTTAGTGTAATTGTATTATTAATAGTGATGTTGCTATTGTAGTTTGTGTAATTGCCTTATTGTAAATTGTTTTTTATATGTTGTACACCGCCGTGAGTCGCCCTAGGGCTGAGAACGGCGGTCTGCAAGTGCAGTAAATAAATAAATAAATAAATAATGTTTACTGTAATAGTAATTATATAGTATGGCCCATATTCATGTGGTCTTCCATTAAGACCTCTGTTAATCATAATACTTGACCTTCAATACTCTGTATTCTCAAGCCAATCCACAACCATGAACCCTTGCCACTCCCCTGTGAAAGAGCTAGGATTGATACTTAAGGACAGGCTAAGGTTAAGAGAGCTTGCTTCAGACCATGCAATACATTGATGGTTGAGGTGAGATCTTAATCAGGGAGAGTGATTTTAAACTTATTCTTTGGGCTAAAAAGCTGAGCCATATGTCAGACTCAAATGGTCACTAAACTTATTAGGTTTTGAAGATAGGCAAATAGTTTGTGAACTTTGTAAGCTGCAGTTCAGTTGTTATATGCATCCCTGTCTAGTAAGTTTAGAATTGTATAAATCATGAAGAAGGCATATTTCTGTGCATGAGGTGCCATTTTGTGTAGATGTATTCTGACTGCAGCACATTCTGGGCAATATAAGTAAAGACTGTCCTTCGATGGAAGGGAAATCCTTTTCTTCACTTCAAGTGTTTCACAGTTTCAGGCCATAGCTAGGCCTGACCGTGTGGTCAGGGAGCCTATGCAGTCTTTGCCAGCGGTCAGGCCCATGAGCTGTGTAGAACAATCTGAGCTGAACTCCAGTCTTTCTGAAACCCTTGCCTCTTCCTGTCCTGCTGCATTTGCACTGTCTGGTGTGCTTCAACGCCTTCAACATGTGGAGGAAAAAATTAATCAGGTGAAATTGATCTTTATTTCTCTCCTCATCCGACTCCCTCTTCCTTTCCTTGCATGCTTCTTTCTACTGCTTTACTAGACCTGGGTCGGCTTCTGACCAATGTGGAGCCATTATTATTGCCTCCTCACCATGTTTAATATAATGTGTGAGATTCTTGGTGATGAAGGTGAATAGTGGGGAGCTTTGCATGTTTCCGGTTCATTTTTCCTGGCTTTCCCCTACTCCAACCATTGAATCACACTGTTTTGTCTGCTTACCTTCAAAGCATTTCACAACACCAATCTATGGAAAGTACTGATTAATCCTTCATATCGCCAAGGCACTTTCCTGAAATTCTCAGAATAGTTTTGCATGTGTGTATAAGCAAAGGATGTTGATATATAAACAAATGATTGGTCTTTGAAGTATTAAGCAAATGGATGGAAGGGTGTACAACTTACCTTGTGTACACAGTTATTATGCTATCATTCCACTTTAAGTACCATTGCTCCATCTTATGGCATCCTGGGGTTTGTAGTTTTGTGAGGCCCCAGAGGAGTTAAGAATCCTAAATACCCCTCCAGGGATTCCATAGGATGTTGCCATGGATGGGGAAGAAGTGTCACAGATCTCCAATTATTTAGTATAAAAAGGCCTCAGGTGACATATGAGAACAAAATTGGCAGGCAACCAACTGTACAACCTGCAAACCTCTGTTGTGTGTATTGTATAGATGGAAAGAAATCAGGCTCACTGCTCAGCTTAAGAACCTGCTGTGATGTCTCTTTAAATGGCAATTCAAGGTTCACCTCCACACATAATATGGAAGCATAGAATCTGTTTTTGCTTTTACTTTTTCACCAACACTGTTTCACTTTCTGGTTTCTTTCTGTTCATCTAACGTAACCAACTTTCTTTCCAACTACTGTTTTTCTGCCTTTTCTCTATAATCCAACCTTTCCTATCTCCTTTTCTTTTCCCCACTGTTGCAGAAGAGAGCTCAGTCCATTGCAAATAGAGAATTTCATAAAAAGAGCATTAAAGAGAAAGCAGCTCATCTTGCATCAATGTTTGGCTGTGTCGACATCCCAAAGGTGAATATTGTGCTTGCTTTGCAGATACATAGGAGTAACTAGGGGATGGGAGCTCCTGGCCCTTCCCTCTCAAATAGGAAAAATGCTAAGCAGTGACTAATGAATCTTTGTTTTAGGTGTGGAACAAATGGGTAGAATCAAACTGAAAGTTAGTCCTCAGTCTAATGCAAAAATGATTTGATCTTACTCCTGTTGAAAGCAGTTTGAGCTGCATTCGGTTATGGCTGCAGTCTCATACTCAGTTGCTGAGTGCGTGGTGTTGCCGTGCCATTATTCTAACACGCATTAATGCAAACATCATCCAGGATAATTTTCCTCTTTCTGCTCTGTACAGAATAAACTTCCTACTAAAGGTCTGTCCTATTCTCAGCACCTATCTCCCTCTTGCCTTTCATCTCATGGTTCAGCTGCTTCCTCTTCATCCATTGACTACTCCGCTTCCCCTGCCATTCATTCTAAAAAGGTATTCCTTAACAGGTTTCCATGTCAGATTCATATTGTTACTAATAAAGCGCAACTCGGCAAAACTGGCTTTGACTCCAAAGGCTTCACCTTTCACAGAGGATGTGTGTGTTAATGCTGCATTTCACTCAAATGAAGGCTAAGCTTGTTAATCCGCATGCTAGCAAAAATAAAAATCCCCAAGCGGCAGGGACTTAGACCTTTCATTTCTGTCATTAGAAAACCTGCCAGCCTGGAGACTATATTTTCAACATTTCAAAAAGAAATTAAAATGGCAATCAGCACTTCTCCAACAATATTAAATATTTAGAGAAAGAGGAATGGTTGGGGGTCAGCTGGAAAGCTGGGTGGTGAGCTGCTTGGTCTTGTTATTTTGGCGTTTCATTTTCATTTTAGTTATGTTGCTGGTATAGCATGTACCATTTTCAATTGCCTGCCTTCAGAAACAGGCAGGCAGAATGAAACAACATTAAATTGCTGCTTCTATTACCCTAAATGAAAAAGGGAAACTATTGGAGAGTATTCCCCAAATAGTTTTGGTTAATATATATTATTTGTGTATGTGTGTGTGTGTATTAATACACAATCATATATACTAATGGATTCCCGGTAGTGCAGTGGGTTAAACCCTTGTGCCAGCAGGACTGCTGACCAAAAGGTTGGCGGTTTGAATCTGGGGTGAGCTCCCATCTGTTAGCTCCAACTTCCCATGCAGGAGCATGAGAGAAGCCTCCCACATGGTGGAAAAACTTCCGGGCATCTCCTGGGCAACATCCTTGCAGACAGCCAATTTTCTCACACCAGAAGTGATTTGCAGTTTCTCAAGTTGCTCCTGACATGAAAAAAATTACCCTAAATCCAAGTCATCTACTGGTCACTGCCCCAGAGTCGATGAATGAGCAGAACGTATACTTTGGGAAGGTTAAGAAAAAGACCACCACTGAGTACTGTGTCTGCCCACCCTCTGCCACTTGAACTTCAGAATACTGTATTAATTCTTCACAGAAGCAAGTTATTTCCAGTGTCTTCTGGCCAGTCAGATTTTCTTCTGGATGATATCTGATACAAAAGTTGTGGTGCTTTGGGGGGGGGGGGGGGGGGGGGGACTGTTTGGCACAAATTGTATTTTCAGTTGTCATGTTATCTTTCTTCAGCTTTTTGATTCTTTAGAATCCTGGTAATTGACAATTAGCTTTCTTGGTGCTATTTTTCAATTGCCGGTTCTTTATCACCTCTCTTTCAACCCAGTGTCCACATATCAATACATTTTGCTGGAATTATGCCTGTTTTTAACAGATAAGGAATATTAGTATTTTATGTATTAAACTAAAATATGTTGCCCTGAATTTTGAATTCTGGGTCTGTTTTAAACAGCTCAACCTATTAGGTTTTCTACTATACTCATTGTGCTAATAACCTGTCCAAGCAGTAATTCTTTTAAGTGGATGTATGGAGTTAGGTGTTTATGGTTTTCGTCCTCTGTTTTTCCTTTTTGAAATAGGAAACTTAGAAAAGTGAAGAAACTCAGGTTTCAGTGCATTGCTGAAACATAAATTTACAATTGTGTATTGGTGTAATAGGTTATCAATGTATTGTCCTTTAATTGCCTGGATTTTCATTGTGTATAAAGACTTCCTTTTTTCTTTAAAGAGACACCTGAAATTAAGGCCTGGTTTTCATACAAAGCAAATGGCAAGATAAATTTCTCTCTGAAATTTAGTGGTTCAGATGGCAGGCAAACTGAGTATTATTCCAGTATCATCGAAGGCTGTTTCAAATTATTTCTTTTTAAAAAATCCAAATTGGATTTTGCTTTGTGCAGTGACTTCCCTGCCTCATTCTGTGACTCTTGGTCACTATATTTAGAATATGGACTTAGCCTCTTTAGTGGGGGGGAAAGAAAGATACAGGCACATACATATTGCTGTTAAAACACATGGGTCATAATATAGTTGTGTCCTTGTGTCTTTGATCCGATCTTGGAGGGACACTCCGTCCTTTGCTGCCAGTCCTCCAGATTACTCAGACTCAGTTGTGGAGGGTTTCTCAGCCTTCTGGTGCAGATGTTGAGGGACTGTGTTGGCTTGGAGGGCAATACACCGTCTCAGAGGTTTGCTTGGGGACTTTGGCTATCAGTTCAGGAATCTGGTTGGCTACTAGTTATGTCTCTTGAACAAGACCTGGCTAAGACACACATTGTGAAATGTACATATTATGTTAAAATCTCCCTAAAAATGGATGTAGAAGTAAAGCCTTTATCACAATTGTGAAACATTATTTTATCAGAATATAGTACATTGTCAGTCTATGTCAGCTTTGGCTATCATCCTGCAGTCTTCATCTTGATCTTCACACTGATTTTGCCCACTATTTTAATAAGCATAGGTATGTTGCTCTGCAAACTGCCATCATGATTAATGAAAAGCTGACATTGATTGTTTGGGTGGGGTAGGCAGTTGACATCAAAGAAATCAGCTTGCATAAGTCCGTCCTTAGTTTAGTCATGCATGTCTTCAGAACAGTTGCCTAACCATATTTAGCTGGAAAATCTTGCTACAGATTTAATTTCATGCAGCCTCATACACTGTGATAATGTGAACTTTCATTTAAAATTTTAAAGTATGGAAGTGTGTGATACATCATTAATACCCTATGTATATGTTCCTTCAGGTTGCATGTCAAGTTATGGCAACCCCATGAATTGCAAGGAATACTCAGATAAAAGTCAATTCCTCTGGAAGCTTAACTTTTAAAAAAAATCAGTTGGAGACAATGATATTGTGACTAAAATTATTGTTATATCTTAGCTTAATGTACAAGAGGTAAAATTTAAAATTAAGCTTTGATCTTGCAGAACATAATTCTGGAATTAAGCCTAAGACCTGAAGTAAGTTGATTAGGAATTCTATGCAGTGATGGCTTACTGAGGCAGACTTCTGTTTGAGGAATAACGCATATGCACATGAGTGTGCAAATAGTTAAATATGGCAACTAAAAACAGTGTGTTCCCAATCTGTATTACTGAACATATAGTCCCAAACTGACAAAAGTTACAGAGCCTGCCTATATAATATCTATCAATCCTTCTATTTATACTCTGCCTTTTTCCTGAGAGTAGAGCTCAAGGCAGCTTACGTAAGATTATAATAATATTAGACCCTCTGTAGAATTAAAACAGTAATGTAAAAGCATGGATTAAAACAGTACAGTATTAAATCAGAAAACCCATTATAGAAAACTATTGGTTCTCAAGTGCCTAATTGAATAGAAAGATCTTCAGTTGCTGATGAAAATACATCAAGGATGGAGCTAATGGGGTCTCCCAAGGAAGGGAGTTCAGGTGTCCAGCAGCAGCCACACAGCAGGCCTTTTCCCACATTTCCTATGTTCTCAACCAACACTGTGAAGGTGAAATAACGGGACTGTGGCACATCTGGCTGGGAGTCAGCTGCATTAAGATCACTACTGATTGAAAGGTCATGGGTTTGAAGCCAGCCAGGGTTGGAGTGAGCTTCCAACCAATTTGTGTAGCTTGCTGTCAGCCTTCACAGCCCAAAAGACAGTTGCATCTGTCAAGAAGGAAATTTAGGTACCACATATGCAGGGAGGCTAAGTTAACTAATTTACGACACCATAAAAATTTCCAGCAAGCATGCAAAGAATGAGGAAGTACTTCATCAGTGTCACAAATGGACGGTGAAGCGACAGCTCCCCTGGGTGGCCAGGATACCCTCATGAAGCTGGAATGTTAAATAGCCTTTGTGTGTTTGTCTATATGTGTTGTGTGTCTATGGCATTGAATGTTTGCTATGTGTATGTACATTGTAATCCACCCTGAGTCCCCTGCGGGGTGAGAAGGGTGTGGAATATAAATACTGTAAATAAAATAAAATAAATAAATATGCATACCCCCTCAAGTAATAATATTACTTTGTGTGGTTCTGTCCTGTACTGGTGGTCTGCCTAAACAAATTCTCCAGTAGCAGCCTTCACAAAACTACAATTCCTCCAAATAAATCAGGATTTTTTTAAAAAAAACTTAAACTTTTATATTATCTAATAAATAGAACATCTAAAATCTAGTTAAACAGAAGAGCAACAAACAGCATAGAGTTTATTGCTATTCATAAACATCAAAAGCCTGGCATGCTGTAGAGGGCTACAACTGTTGTCATTTCTAGCCAACATAGCAATTGGTTTGCTGAATAGGGTGACGTGAGTAATGGACAAACAGTGAAAAACAAGTTCCAGAGCTGGAAAGTCTGCTGTAGACTGAAGGCCTTTGTGAGTCAGTAGAAACCAATTGGGATGGACAAGGAGGTGAGAGCCCAGGCCACCCTACTTCTATGCAGAACTGTTGTTGCTAGAGGAAGACTTACAATTTTTAAGCAGGCCCCTCTCCTTTTTTGGTGCGGGAACATACAGGCCCTCCTACCTCTGCTATTTGTCAACATTTTTTAAACAAAATTTCTACATAACTCAGTACTTTGACTTTTCAAACAATAAAGGAAGAGTAGTAGGGGTGAAGTTTGTGCTTGATGGTGCATGAAATAGCCTACAGCTCATCTCGATGCTTTTGTGTCTTTCTGACTTCACGCTTGTTTGTCACTGCTTTGGTACATGGCATGCTTTAACCCACTGTCTCCTCTTGCTTTATTTTTCTTAACTCAGACTCTCAAAATATCTCTCCTTTCTCCATCTTTTCTCTCCCATTTTCTTCCTATTGCTGGACACTAGATGACAGTAGGGAAGGTGTCACGTGGAATAGGTGCAGTAGCACAAGTTCTTGTCAATCTGTACATGAATGATCACAGGCCCAGTCCATTGTCTACATCCTTGGAACTGGTAAGGTTTAACCCTGCACATTTTGATTTGGGATTGTTGCATTTAAAAGGCATCATTTCTAGGACTTTTCCTGTAATCTTTTCAGTTTTTCTATGCTCTCTGCCAGATTGAAAGCACATAAAGGTAAAGGTGCACATCAGTTTCTGCATTTTTCTTGTTTCTAGTATAAATTCCAGATGAGCTTCTATATCAGATGCAGTTGTAATGTGCAAATAATCCAGAGTGGCTTGCAATTCAATGTGTTTTTAGAGAAATGTGTTTTTAGAGAAATGTGTTTTTAAAATCATCTCGCAAGCAGAGGTGACAAATGATTCCCATGTCATTGGTGAACTATCCAAGGTGCTGAATTTATTTGGAAGATACAGTTCACCTCCTAAAGTAGGAACTAAACCCTGGAATGGATGCACTGTTGCATTGAAATGGAGTGTCCTGCTACCACCACTGGTGGCAGTAGTTGGAGAGAGTATTGCTGGTTAGTTTGAAAAGGAAACTTTCATTTTAAGATCATGTGTGAATATCAGGAGCATTTTTGGTACTAGCTATAGCAGTTTTACAGTTAAGAATATTATAAAAATATACTTCTATAAAATAAGACACTTTGCTGGACAAAATTCATTCTCAGTTCTGTTAATGTTGTGTTAACTGCAGAATGAATCAGCAGATGGAGTTGTTGCTGCTACTACTTTCTCTACTTCTTCATCTGCCTCTCCAGCTTTTCCTTCGACTACTCAGAGCTGTCAGGTATCAAACATATGTGTACTCAGAAGTGGCCAACAAATTTTGTGTATGTTTATTATGTTTTGAAAATAGGTGTTGACACATCCTCAGTAAACAGCAAGCCATGTATCATGACACAAAATGTGAATGTGAGTTGTCATGTTCTAAAAATACACATTGATCACAGTGTACTACAGAAATTATATCTCCAAAATGTGCATATTCTGGACAAAGCTTTCTCAAGCTGTTAGTAAGCTAGATTCTGAGTTCAACTATATTTTGTGCTTCATTTTCTACATCTTACTAGTCTTCAGCCTATTTTAATCTTCACTGTAGTTATGAAGTTCAGTTGAAGATTATCTATTGCCCACAAACAGTTTTTGATCCATCATCAATGGACGTAATGTTTTAATTCCTGAGCTTTCACAGTATAATTATAGCTCTATGTTTCCACTTTAACTTCCATGGTTACATCCTGCTTGAATTCAGAGTTTATAGTTTGGTGAGGTGCTTGATCTTTCTGGCTGAAAATTCTAAACAGTCCTCCCTAAACTGCAAATCCCAGATTTTGGTAGGGTGGGATAATGACAGTTAAAGTGTAATCATAGTACTATGATTGCGTAGCGTGAATGGGCTGATAATACTGCATTGAGAAGAAAAGAGCCCTGCAGCCGTGAAGGAAAGACAGCACTGGAAAAATAAACTGGTCAGAGCTAGAGGATTGTCTCTGGCATCCCTCATCACTGTTGTGTGCTCTTCAAAAATGTGCAGCTGCTAGTGCAATGCATCTTGAGCCATTGGGAGCCATAAGCCAGACCTATTCAAAGTTTCAAGTTTCAGGAAGGAAAGAATCAATTTTGGCTATTGAGAACAAAAAAGTGCAGTGGTTCCCAACCTGTGGGTCCCCAGATGTTTTGGCCTTCAACTTCCAGAAATCCTAACAGCTGGTAAACTGGCTGGGATTTCTGGGAGTTGTAGGATAAAACCCCTAGGGACCACTGATCTAGTGTATCTGGAGGGCTGATACCTGAAAATGGAAAGGGCAGATTCAAAATTATTGTTTGGGTAAAAACTGGCATTTATAAAAGTCCTGTTTATATTGGTTCTATAGTAGGCCCTCCATTTCCATGGGGGTTGGGACACCGAGCCCTCACAAAAGTGGAAAGAAATGAATTATAAATCTGGAGAGAACACCTGTCAAGGAATCTCTCTGCCCTCCAGACAATCTGGTCAGATCAGGCAGTCACATTGGAGAACCTAGAGATTCCTAGAGAGAGTATAATAATCAAATCCATAATCCAGTGAATCATCAAATCTGCAAAAGTTAAATCTGCAAATGAGAAGGGCTGACTGCTATAGTATTCTGTGGGTAAATAGCTCCTTTAAAATCTAGACATTACTTTCTGACTGTCTTTGCCTTGGGAGTTCCCTTTCTCTTCCATATTTATGCTGAAACATAGATGCATATCATTATACAAAATATTAACAAATAAAAATGAAAGGAAGGACCCAGATATTATGTAAATATTTACAGAGGTGTAAATATATCTATGATTGTATGTTGAAGATTTTTCATTTTTGTGTGAATTTTGATTATGTTATGATCTAATTTTATTAAAACCATTGGAAAGATTTGCTCTTGGGCTTCACCATAGAAATGAGTGTAATCCTATTTCTATTAAAGATACTGAAGTATCCCTGTGAGTCACTCTCATATCTATAAAGTGTAGGGTGAATGAGTTAGAATAGCTCTGCTGTGATCCATGATTATCCTTGTTATATGCCTTCAGGCTAAGTCTGACTTATGGCAGCTATATCATAGAATTCCCACCCCCCAAAATGTATCCAAACAAGGTTTGCTCTTATATTCCTCTATGACTGAGAGAAAATGACTTGTCCAAGGGTTCCCTGGCTGGACAGGGGTTCAAACCTCAATGTCCCAGAGATCTAATATAACATGTAAATCAGTTAGAGTCACCACTGTGGTTCATATTGTGCAGCTTTAATAAATCAAGCAAATATATCCTAAATTATTTGCTGTTTTTGTACTTGTTTCACCAAGGGTTGGGCACCATTCTCTTAGAGTTTGTCTTGCCTTAATCTCTTCTGTCAGCGAACATGTTGCTAGACTGCAGTACCCAGAAACCCTCATCACTAGCTATCAAAGAGGCTGATGGGAACTGTAATTTAATAGCATCTTAGTCACACATTGCCTACCCCGTTTTGTCCTATGCAGTGCAAAGATCTGTACAGCCAGTATTTAGTCCTACACTTGTTGCAGAAGCATTCACTGTTGATAGCATGTTGATAGCATGCACTGAAAATAAAACAAAAAATCACTCCCCTACCAAGCTTCTTTCAGCTTGGTTTTGATGGCCTTGCATTTATAAGTCATATACAACCTCACCAGACAAGGTTATTCCCTGTCATAGCATGCTGCCGGCACGCTTCCAGAATGGAGTCCACCAGAGCCCATCATATGATGCAGGGCTACTTCTAGCAGGGCTCTACTGGGATCTGTCTCAGCAGCATCCTGACAGCACACTAGTGACACACTAACAGGGAGACCTGAGGAAATGAGTGACTGTCCATCTCCTCATTGAAGAGGCCCAGCACAGCACAGGAGGAATCCTGTCCCCGGAAACGTTGTGGGATGACAGCCCATAACCAACCATGGTAATGGAGTGAAGCTGGTTTCTCCCACTGTCCCCTGGCTTGTGGACTTCCTTCTGATACATCCATAGTGTGAGATGGATTATTCAGATGATCCCTTGATTTTGTCTGGTGTTAGTCATTGTGAGGTGCCCTCAAGTGTGAAGCACTGCAAACAGCAAATTTGCTGCTTTTCTGGCCCACCTTCTTATGGGTGTCACTGCTGCCACCTCGTTTTTACTTGTTCCTTTGCCACCTCTTGTAGAAAATGGGTATGTGTGTGTGCATTTTGTTTCTAGCCTCAAGAGACAGGAAAGCTTGGTCCAGTCCTATACAGTCATCCCTCAATATCTATTGATTCTACATCCATGGATTCTACCACCCACATCACACACACACACACACACATATACATACATACATATATAAATCCTGAAAGTAAACACTGATTCTGCCACAATTTTGCTTCACCACTGTGTATAATGGGACTTGAACATCCACAGATTTTTATATCCATGGGTGGTCCCGAATGAAATCCAAAGAGGTCTCCTTAATATTTTTTTCATTAAACACTCTCTAGTCAAAAAATTATAACTATGTCATAATTTTATTAACAGGGTTCTCTGAGGAAAGAATTTCCTCAGTCAATAGGTGGGAGCGATGTTTGCTGTTTCTGCAAGAAAAGGGTGTACGTCATGGAGCGCTTGAGTGCCGAAGGCCACTTCTTCCACCGAGAATGCTTCAAATGTGCCATATGTGCTACAACTCTCCGCCTAGCAATGTATGCCTTTGATGCAGAGGAAGGTAGGTAACACAATTTACTTAGGCAATCCCTCGTTGTCTGAGTAGGATAGTCTTCCAGGATCAGTGTACTAGCGGTGGGTCCGTAGGTGACTGTGGAGCCCTATTCTTGACCTGCATCTTCTCCCGCAGTGAGGGCATTGGTTTCCAGGTGGAAGGCAGTCCCCGTCAGGGTTGGCTTGATGCGCCTTCCTCTTGGCACATTTCTCTCTTTCGCCCTCCATTCGTGCCTCTTCAAATTCTACAGCACTGCTGGTCACAGCTGACCTCCAGCTGGAGTGCAACATTGGAACACAACACTGGAATGCCATCACTGGGGATATGGTTCTCCTCCTCCATCAACAATCCATTTAATATGTTGGTGTTAATTGCAGTAAAGTCAAATTTGCGTTATGGTGTCTCTATGAAGGAAAGACCTTCAGAAGCCAACAGTCCTCTCAAGACTTGCAGACTCAAGACCAGGGCATCCTTGACTAAATACTTAATATGGGTCTAGACTGTTTAGGTGCTTCACTTCTCTACATCCAGGGCCAGCCACATCATTAGGAAAAGTAGGGGCACTGCCTCAGGTGATATCATGGTGTGGAGCAACAGAAAATGGGAGGAAAGTGGTGTTGGATATGTCAGGTGACCTATCCAAGCTAGCCTCCTATCTTCAAGTGCAGTTGGGAGTGCTGACCTATTACCAGTGATGAAGTAAGATACAAGAGTTGGTGCATCTGGGTTTTATGCATAGAATGGATAAGGCATCCTTTTGTTCTTTATTCCTAATACCCAAAGTATTTTGATCTATTCCTGATCCCAGTTCTCACCTAAAATTGAATGAGGACTAAAACAACTCCACCATCCAAAAATGTTTTACAAATTATTTTAGCTGCTTTTGACAAGACTTTTATACCCTAGCACAGTTCCATCCCAGTTAGGTGGTATTCATCTGAAATAAACAGAAAACAGGCTGTCAGGAAATACATGCTGAAATTCTTTCAGATGAGTTCTTTTTAGGAAAGAGTCATTAGCTGCATTTATTAAAGACACATGAATAGATCCCTTTTACATGGACATCATACCATTGTTTGTTGACTCCATTTGATTAAGAAAAGCCAAAACATCTTATTGTTTCTGTCTTTCAGATAAATTTTATTGCAAGCTCCATTTTGCACAGTGTAAAACAAAGAATACACATAGAAAAAGAAGAACCATGCTAAAGAGTCATGAAAAGGTGTGTATATTTCTAATTGTGTGCAACCCCTCCCTCTCCCCCGCCCCAAGGGGAAAAAAACCTTTGCAGTGGGTGAAAGACCATAGTTAAATATTCATTCCAGTTCATTGAAAGAGGTGTGCACTTCATGTTGATTCATGTGCCCCTTGGCAACTCAAGTGATATCCCTGCCATATTGATCCATCCGAAAGGAAATCTTTTAGCACTTTAAGGAGTGGAAAAGATTGCTGATTACCCATTGTCATCACACATAATGGATATTTCCTTATAACCTAAGATTTCAATGGTAAGCTCAACCACATATCTTTAATAGACTTTAAGGAAATTTTAAATGTGTATTGTGACGTTGGTGAATGTTTAAGCCTAGTGATTAGAACCTAGAAATGCAGTTGCCATTGACAAGTTGACAAAGTACAGAGAAAACAACAAAGGGCTTTGCGATGCCTTTAAGACTATCAAAACAAAGACCTAAGTAAGATTTTGGACCCTGTCCCAAACACACTCTATTTCTCTATCTATCTATAAAACACTATCTATCTATCTATCTATCTATCTATCTATCTATCTATCTATCTATCTATCTATCTATCTATCTATCTATCTATCTATCCGAGGTCCGTTTGAACATAAGTACACAACGAAAGTTTATTTCAAAAAAGTAAATTTATTTTCAGAAAGTACATACTTCACTCTATTTTTCGACATAGTTGCCAAGTTTGTTCAAACACTTATCATACCTCTGAACCAATTTTAAAATACCCTCTTCATAAAAACTTGCTGCCTGCTCCGATAACCAAATTGTCTGTAATCAAAGAAGGGCGACCGGAGCGGTCCTCATCATGGACGTTGTCACGGCCATCTTTGAATTGTCGTACCCACTTACGCACTTTGCTTTCACTCATAACAGTATCACCGTACACTTCACAAATCTGTCGATGAATTTCTGCAGCAGGCAGGTTCCTTGCTGACAAAAACCATATCACTGAATGAACCTCACATGCGGCGGGTGAGTTGATAGTCTTAAACATTTTTAAAGCACAGAACAGAACCGTACAGGTTAGCTACAGAGCGGAAACTGAGCACAGTTGTTCCCGAGGCATGCCGGTACACAACGCATGCACTCGTTGCAGTATGCGCACGAACTACTAGTGTCTACAACAAAATGGACCTTACTTTAAAAATACCCCTCTTATATATCCATTTGCTGTGAGATGCACATTCATGAATCAGTCTTGGCCAAATATAATTTCAGAAATTTTCAGAAAATTGCTATAATCTAAATAATAAGGAAAATCATCAGCATCAACCAGTGCAATTGGAGGAAAAATTCCTACTACTGTTAGAGTTAACCCAACATTTTATTTATTATTAATGCACTTGTATACCGCTAATATCTCAGCCTAAAACGGCGACTCATTGCGGTTTACAACACTTAAAAACAACAATATTCAATTTAAAATCATAAAACACATATACAGTACACAGTATCGGGCCACCAATACAGACCAATGCATCTCTTAATTAAAATCATAATCCAATTTCGTCGTCTATGATTACCAGTCCTTGATCATCAACTCCATCGCACCGGATTAACCGAATGCTTGTTCAAACATCCATGTCTTCAGTTTTTTCCGAAATACCATCAGCGAGGGAGCTGATCTTATCTCTATAGGGAGGGCATTCCAAAGCCGAGGGGCCACCACAGAGATGGCCCTGTCTCTCGTTCCCGCCAGCCGCACTTCTGAAGCCGGAGGGACAGAGAGCAGGGACTCTCAGAAGATCTTAGGGTCCTGGTGGGCTGATAGGCTGAGATACGTTCGGATAGATATGTTGGGCCAGAACCGTTTAGGGCTTTAAAGGCCAACGCCAGCACTTTGAATTGGGCCCGGTAGCAAATCGGCAGCCAGTGGAGCTGGTACAGCAGAGGAGTTGTATGCTCCCTGCGCCCCGCTCCTGTTAGTATCATGGCTGCCGCCCGTTGGACTAATTGGAGCTTCCGAGCCATCTTCAAAGGCAACCCCACGTAGAGAGCGTTGCAGTAGTCTAGACGGGATGTAACCAGAGCGTGGACTACCGTGGCCAAGTCAGACTTCCCAAGGTACGGGCAGTAATATGTGTAATATGTGTATTCTACAGGTGTTTTTAAATGATTTTGTGTTTTGAGGCTCAACGATGAGTCCAGGATCACCCAAGCTGCGAACCTGTGTCTTCAGGGGGAGTGACCCCTCCAACACAGGCTGTAACCCTATACCCTGTTCGGCCTTACGACTGACCAGGAGTACCTCTGTCTTGTCTGGATTCAATTTCAATTTGTTCGCCCCCATCCAGACCGTCACAGTGGCCAAGCACCGGTTCAGGACCTCGACAGCCTCCTTAGTAGCAGGTGGAAAGGAGTGACAGAGTTGGACATCATCTGCGTACAGATGACACCCCCCGAAACTCCGGATGATCTCACCCAGCGGCTTCATGTAGATGTTAAACAACATGGGAGACAGTATTGAACCCTGAGGTACCCCACAAAACAAAGGTTGCGGGGTAGAACAGGAGTCCCCCAGTAACACCTTCTGAGACCGACCCTCGAGGAATGACCGGAGCCACTGCAGAACAGTACCTCCGAGACCCATTCCCGCGAGGCGTCCCAGAAGGATACCGTGGTCGACGGTATCGAAGGCCGCTGAGAGGTCGAGTAGCACCAGCAGGGACACACTCCCCCTGTCGAGCTCCCGACGCAGATCATCCACTAAGGCGACCAAGGCTGTCTCGGTACCATGCCCCGGCCTAAAGCCAGACTGTGCCGGATCCAGATAATCCGTGTCTACCAAGAATGCTTGGAGTTGTGAGGCCACCACACGTTCCATGACTTTGCCCAAAAAGGGGAGATTGGAAACAGGCCGATAGTTGACGAATTGAGTGGGGTCCAGTGATGGTTTCTTCAACAGCGGTTTTATTACAGCTTGCTTTAAGCTGGCTGGAATTTTGCCTTCCCGAAGGGAGGCATTAACCACCACCTTCACCCACTCGGCCAATCCCCCTCTGGCCTCCTTCAGAAGCCAGGATGGGCAGGGGTCTAGGATGCATGTGGTAGCTCTCATTCCTCCAAGCACCTTGTCCACATCCTCGGTTTGAACCAATTGAAATGAATCCATCAAAATAGGACAAGCAGATGCTCGTGTTACATCCTCAGAGACTGCCGTTAATATGGTGTCCAGTCCAGAGCGGATCAAAGCGACTTTGTCTGCAAAGAACTGAGCAAAGGCTTCACAGCGAGCTGCCGAGTCATCAGGGCACCCATCCTGAATGGTGGGTTTTAACAGGCCTCTGACAACTCGGAACAGTTCAGCCGGACGGTTCTTTGCAGACGCAATAGTGGCCGCAAAGAAAGTTTTCTTTGCGGCTTTTATTGCCGTGGCATATGCCCTTAAAAAGGACACAAACCGTGTTCGATTTGGCTCGCTCGGATCCGAACGCCACACGCTCTCTAGTTCCCTCTTCTTTCGCTTCAACGCTGCCAGCTCCTCAGTAAACCAAGGGGCTGGTTTAGCTCGGCTACTTGAGAGGGGACGTTCTGGAGCGATCGTGTCTATTGCCCTAGTCATCTCCCCATTCCAGAGAGCGACCAGGGCATCAACAGGATCACCAACCGAGGTGGCGGGAAATTCCCCAAGAGCCGTCAGGAATCCATCCGGATCCATAAGCCTCCTGGGGCGGACCAGTTTAATAGGTCCTCCACCTCTGCGGAGGTTAGGGGGTGCAGTGAGTCTAAAGCTGACCAGGTGGTGGTCGGTCCATGGCAACGGAGAGATGGCTAACTCCTCAATACCGCCACCTTCCTCCCATCCCTGACAGAAAACCAGATCCAATGTATGTCCAGCACTGTGGGTGGGGCCAGATACCTGTTGGGACAGCCCCATGGTTGCCATGGTGGACATGAAGTCCTGAGCCGCTCCCGATAAGGCGGTCTCGGCGTGGACATTGAAGTCCCCCAGCACAAGTAGCCGTTGGGACTCCAATGCCAGGTCCGAGACCACCCCCGCTAGCTCAGGCAGGGAGACTGTAGTGCAGCGAGGTGGACGGTACACTAACAGAATCCCTAATCTGTCCCGGTCACCCACCCTCAGGTGGACGCATTCAAAATTTGTTGACTGCGGGATGGGGGCCCTGGTCAGAAGAATGGAATCTCTATAGACCACTGCAACTCCGCCTCCCCGCCCTCCGGATCTCGGTTGGTGCTGCACAGAGAAACCTGGTGGGCAAAGCTGGGTTAAATTACACCTCCCGCTTCGTCCAACCAGGTCTCTGTGATGCACGCCAGATCTGCCCGTTCATCCAGGATTAAATCCTGGATGAAAGTTGTTTTACCATTGACAGATCTGGCGTTCAACAGCACCACTTTCAATCCGGAGGGTTACCTGTAATACACCAACATGGATACTCATTTGGAAGGGATTACAGATTATATTTGTCATGTATTTATTGTTTTTAATAGAGAGGTCAGTGCCATAATTTTTTAGTATATTTTTAATTATATGCAACTTTCTTAACTGAAAATGTGATTGTTTCAGTGTGCCTTCCCAGAATAAGGAAACTCCCAGCAATATGTCCCTAAACGCACTTTATTAATGATTTAAGATTGTCTGCACATTTCTTCCCTCTCCAAAACTTCTATCCCAATTACATGTCACCTTGTCATGCCCAGCATTATTTTTTTTAAAAATTAATTATTACATTTGGCCCAGCCATAGGTTTTTAAACGCGTCGTGTTATTGTTAATGTTTATTGCTTATTTTTTGCTTATGAGTTTATTTATTGTTTTGTATTATTGTTGTTATTGTTTATTGTTGTATTGTGGGCTCGACCTCATGTAAGCCGCACCGAGTCCCTTGGGGAGATTTTAGCGGGGAACAAATAAATTATTATTATTATTATTATTATTATTATTATTATTATTATTATTATTATTACCCCCCCCCCCAATGTTTTTAAAATGACAAAGATGTCATCTGTTTCACAAGGTCTTGATCATGCAGCATTTATTAACCCAAATAAAAGAGTACAATGTATTTGTTGCACATTTGTTGACAGAAGGAGGAAGGGAAGGCAAAACCCCACACATATCAGAATGGTAGCATTCTGATATGTGTGGCGGAAGAACAAATATGCATTGATGTAATCAAACATAATGTGCATATGCCACTTTGCTCCTTTTCTTGCATCATCCAGGGTTGTTGTGTTTTATTCATATTGTTTTTAAAGAGCATTGGAGGGGTAAAATGGCAGCTGGACTTTTTGTCTGTTTTCATTGTGTCACCATTTGTTTAAACCTTAGTGAATTTCTGAAAACTATGCACACTCCCACATATTATTAGTGAATGTTCTTGCTTTGGTGCATGTCCAGGAGACATCCAAGCTAAAATATGACCATTTAGGATTGGAACTAACAGCAATCTAGAATCCTTCTTGTTTTCCAGCTAGTCTTAGGGAGAAATGTTCTTAGATTTCAAATGATGGCAATGAATGCAGTGTTAAGCTGTTTCTCTTTAAAGGATGAATTGTGGAAGCAAGAAGAACCTATGTCATCTGAAACCACCTCAGAATGTGCTTTTGCTGCCAGTAGCAGCTCAGAAGACCGGTCCCCAGGTATCCTGCCTTCATTCTTTAAGAAAACTCTAAGCTGGCCTCTTAAGGTGACAAGGGATCTGCTTCACCTTCCAAGACAGCTCTCTAACTGGATGCATGGTGTCCTGCACGCTACCAGACTTCATTTCAGGGACAATGCATACAACTATACGTACTTGTATGAACTCTTAAGCTTCAGTATGCCATTCCTTTTTGCGCTTCAAGAGTTACTTGCCCATATTTACCGGGAAGTGGAGCTGTCGTGTGAGAATGTGCTTGACTTGGTGAAGAAGTTCTTCAGGGTATAAGTTCTTCTTAATTTTGGTTGTGCCTTTCAGATTTCCAAAACAAACAGCCTTTTGGTTACATGTATATGCACAAAGGTAGACATTTCAATTCAGTAAGTGCTTTAAAATGAGCCAAAGTTCCATTTGATAATCATGGTGCAATCCTGAGATCATTTCATTTTTATTGGCTCATGAAGGTCAGTGTCCAGATTCATTTTCAGACCAAGGAGATTATATGAAGGATGTTTCTGTTATAGTTTATTGCTTTTTAAAAAAATGGATCTATTTCCAGTTATGACCACATATTTCTTTAGGTTTACATTTTATTTTCTTTATTTTAAAGACTGTGAAAGAAAGTCCTTTCAGACATTTCTCAAGCAACATAAAAATGTTGACTATGTGGAGGTTTTTTTTGAAAACTGAATATGGCACATACTTTTCCCCTCCCCCCTCCCTTCCCTTTTGCTTTATCTTTGCTTTGGGGCTACAAAGGATGTTTACTTGCATAGATTTTGTTTAAGTTTTTAAAAAATGTATACCACTAGCCCATTTCTTCTTATTGACTTCTCTTTGATATATCCTTTGTAAACACTGGGCATTTTGTGTAATATTTATGAATAAATTCAAAGAGCAAATTTTAGACTCCTTAGTTAATTAAAATTAAAGCACAGCATTAGCTTATATTTATTTCCCCTAATTTGTGGGGTAATTTTATCCATGAGGTATGCTATATAGCTGATACTGAAGAGGAATGTCTGTTGTTTTTTTTAAAAAAACAAACAAGTAAAAGCTTGTGTTTACAACTTCCCTTAAAGAATTCCTTTGGTAATTTAAGTTATTGTACTAATTAATTGAACTGTTATGTTGGAATAATTAATATATAAAATTAATTCAAAGAGGGAGATATTGAGAGATTCTGGAATTCACTTGACAATTCACTTAAAGAGCCTGATAGAAATAAAAAATATATTATCTAAGAGATAATAAGCACTCGCAATCATCCTCGAAGGCTGAAGCATTAGACATGTAGATTTCAACATTTAGTTGACTAAAACAGAAACCTAAAGCACAGGAATTTCAAATTATTTGGGCACTATGCAAGTGTGCTGAAGGTGTACAAGGTAACATTTCCAAGCATAAACCTATATGGTACTGATAATAGCAATACAATTAATTTAAATTGTTTTTCTATGGGTTGCCGTTCATAGAGATAATGGTACTTGAGCTCTTTTTGATCCAGTATTTTACCATATGCTTTATCTTTAACTGCGACATCAAAAATATTTCAATGTACTGTAGAGAGCAGCTATTTTAAAAATGGTTTCCACAGCATGCTTATACGACCTAACACACACTCAAAAGGGTTTTGTGGATCACCAACGTTCAGTTTCCGAAATAGAAACCATTGTGCCTTTGGCTGATAAAAAGATAATATCCTTGATACCTGTTTTATCTGTGTGGTCTTTTCTGTGGGTTTTCACTTGCTTGAATGGTATTTTATTGGACAAATGTTTATTTGCCACAAAAGATGATCCATATACCTTCCAAAACCTTCAGACTTGCATACAAGCAGATATTATTACTAGTATATTGACTATGTTACATGGATTTTAAACAGGGATTTTTTTTAAAAAAAAAAACTGATAGATTGAATGGGTCTGTTCTTAAATCTCTGCCATAAGCACCTTTCTTTGGAAGAGATTCCAATTTCCGAGATACAAATGCACGGACTCCTGTTGAAGTTAAGTCCTTTATCCTCAACAAATCCAAAACAAAGTTTTGTTTGTACTTAAGAATAAGACCTGATCTACTAAGAGGTGAAATATTTTATTTAAGCAAATTTCCCCCTTTCAGATATAAGTAAAACTTCAACATGGGCTTATAGCACAGAATAACTTTACAAAAACTGTTGTAAAAGTACACATGTTGACCCAATGCATCTGGCCCACCATTTTTGTGTCTCTAATGCCATTGTTCTATGCAGTGCATAGTTCATCAGAGCACACACTCAGGGAAAGAGACCTCCAAGTGGGAACGATGCCATGCTGTAGCTTTCTGATGCAGAAGGAACAGGAAGTAGAAGTGCTTTTAAATTCTTATTTTCACTGTATTACTAATGTTTCACATGCAACCAAGTCAATTATAGTATTTATGTAATGCTTTCAATTTATCACTGGATTTATATTTGATTTATCTAAAAGTCATGATGCATGTGTCTTTTCATCTACTGATGTCAAAAACATTGAGTTGACATCACATCACAAGAAAAGCTTTTAAAGGAAGGTAGTCTGTCTTGTGGGTCACTGGGATAGATCATGTTGGTGAATATATAATTAGCCCTTAAGAACTCTTTCCAACTATAGTCATCTCTCCACATTTGTAGTCTTTATTTTTGTGAATTTGCTTATTCACGGATCTGATAAAAATAGTATCTCTATGAACCTCTAATTCCTCCAGGAATGAGCAACTTCCCCTAGTCATGCTGAAGAACCTAGAGATTTCTAGAGACAGCAGATTTTGAGGAATCTGTGGGTCCTCTAATGTGATTCTATGGCCCACTTCCAGTGAAAGTCGACCATAGAGTTATACTGGAGGACCTTGAAATTCTCAGTGAATGTGGAGGGCTGACTATAAAGATAATAGGCAATTCATACACGTTAGTGAGAGCCACCATATTGTTGTGGTTTGAGTGTCAAACTAGGATTCCTGAGAATAGGAATTGAATCCCCACTTGGCTATAGAAACCACTGGGTGACTTTAGGTTAGTCACAGTCTCTCAGCCTCAAATGAAGGCAGTCAACCCCCTATGACCAAATCTTACCAATACAACCCTATGAAGGTTTCATCTTAGGGGCACCATGGGACAAAAACTACTTGAAGACATACAACAATAACAACAAGATAACTTGAAGCATGGTTGTGATAAATATATAGATATGCTGTGAGCCCCAGGGGAGTGGCGGCATATAAGTTCAAATAATAAATAAATAAATAAATAAATAAATAAATAAATTATCATGAAAAGCTCAGAAATGAATTCAAGTGAACCATAAAACAACCACACATTACAATGAAAACATTTTTAAACAAATGTGCTGTTAGATTACTAAACTGTAAATTGTATGTTTTAAGACAATAAGTGTATTTTGAAGGTGTCTCACAAAATGATAGACAATCCAACTGCATTTATCCAGTTCTGGGAGAAAAGGGCAAAGTATCCAGAAATCACAGTTTTGTTAGAATGTTAGGGTCATTCAGCATTTGCATGTAACAGTTTGTGAAAACCAAAGTTTACTTTGTACAGTGTTTGACATTATATGTACAATTACATGTCCACCCAAGACCTATGTCATGTTCAATATTTTGGGTGCCTCTTTGTTATTTGCACATTAAATCTGGGTTTGATAAAAACACAGCTTTGGGTTGTGGAAACAAAAGAGGAGTAATCAATATGTGGCCAACGCATGTCCAAAACCATTCTCTGATAAATTGAGGATTGTTTACTTTGACAAGCATATGTCTAGATGGTTGTTTCAATTCACATTCCTTTTCAATAGCCGAATGTCTTTTGTAACTGTAATATTTTATCCTTGAAAGTTAGCCGATCATGTTGATACCTTGATTTATCAGAATGAAGGGAGGAAATTCCATTGCATCATACCTTCCTTTACCTTGTGATGTTGGATTTTGTCAAGTAATCTTTCTTTCTATATAATCAAAGGCTTCTTGTTAGCTTGTTTTGACTGTCTTTTCTTTTCCGCTCTTTTACATTGTCTTTAGTTCATTTCAACATTCCAGTGCTACACCCACTCATTGGCTGATCCGTTCTTGCTGTAAGATGCTTGTTCTGGTTGCTATCATTTCCTGAGTGTTGTGACTAATCCTTAATACTTCCTGCTGGTGTTGAAAAGACCACTTGGAGTTCTGTGCAGTAACTTAAAGATAAGATTCTGCATGATCATTTTTTTTGTTCACCATTCAAAAGCACATGACTTCTTTCCAAATCTCTCCCAGGGATTTCTCTTATCCCTCTGCATGCCTTTCAGACTTTAAAAGAAAAATGGAATTATGAATAGATGTTAGCTAAAACTTTTCTTGGTGGTTTAAAAGGTTAGGGTTTGTGTTTGTTCATTGGGATCTCACTGAAATGAGGTTGTGGCTGAAATGAACATTAGAAGACAAATAAATTTGTTTCCTAGCTGTACAGATCTTTCAGTGGCAAGTTGTTTAGAACTGCCGAAAGATGTGCAGTGTATATTAAGCCACTTGAATCTGGTACAAGCATAAATTCAGAATATAAACTAAATAAATAAATATTGGCCTGGCAAATAAGATCTGAGTACTCACTATTTCAGAACTCTATCTTGAAATGTGACCACATTAAACTACCAGTGTGGGAAATTTTTAGATAAAGATTACCACTCTGTGTTTTGTAGTAACGATTGTTCTAGTGCAGGGGTCCACAAACCTTTTAAACAGAGGGCCAGGTCACAGCCTCTCAAACTGTTGGAGGGCCGGATTATAATTTGAAAAAAGCATGAATGAATTCCTATGCACAGTGCACATATCTTATTTGTAGTGCAAAAAACACTTAAAAACAATACAATAATTAAAATGAAGAACATTTTTAACAAATATTAACTTATTAGTATTTCAATGGGAAGTGTGGGCCTGCTTTTGGCTGATGACATAGGATTGTTGTTGTTGTTGTGTACTTTCAAGTCGTTTCAGACT